GGCTTTTTTTTTTTTTTTTAAGATTTATTTTATTTTTATTGGAAAGGCAGATATACAGAGAGGAGAGACAGAGAGGAAGATCTTCCATCTAATGATTCACTCCCCAAGTGAGCGCAATGGCCGATGCTATGCCGATCCGAAGCCAGGAGCCTCTTCCGGGTCTCCCACGCGGGTGCAGGGTCCCAAAGCTTTGGGCCGTCCTCCACTGCTTTCCTGGGCCACAGGCAGGGAGCTGGATGGGAAGCAGGGCTGCCTGGATTAGAACTGGCGCCCATATGGGATCCCGGGGCGTGCAAGGCGAGGACCTTAACCACTTGCGCCACCGCGCCGGGCCCCCAACAGGCTTTTAAGATTGCTGGAGTCCAGCTACTGCCAAGTTCGGAGATTGGGAAGGGTGCGTGGAGTCGGCGATAAAGAAAGATCGGACACTGTCACTTCGTGTGCTCTTGCAACAGCTCAAGAAGCTGTCCTTTTTTATTTACTCAGACACCTCACAAGCTTCTACACAAACAACTAATTGTTCTATTTTTACTTCAAGACTAAGGGGGCATATACAGACATTTGGTCATTCTGTCTGCACTTCAGGGCTAAGCAGGTGCCCCTAAAGATAATTCTGCAAAATACTGTATTCATATTCTTCAAAGCAAGCCATTATTCATTCTTCAGTAGTAGCCATGGAGCAACAGCCAGGACTCCAAGGCCAAGGCACATGCGATTATCTGCTAATCAGTAATACATTCCTACCACATTTCTGTTTTTACAATTCACCCATTATTTAGTGGGAAAATAGGTTACAAGGGAAAAAATGCAAAAATCTAAAACCAAAACTTCAAATGTTAAATCCCCCTACAACTATAGGCTCTACAACCCCATAAACAATGAAACAATAATTAAAAGTATATTTCTTTAATAAAAGCATCCTTAACTCCTCTAGCTAAAAATTATAAAAGCGGCTAAAACAATTACATTTTCTACACTCCTAAAAATTGCAAAGACAAGCTAGCTTTTCAGATAACAATAGGTATATTTATTGCCATAGCAGTTTCAGCTCTCACTCTGATCACTTGCATTAATATTTAGGATATTTATCAAGCCCCTTCCCAGAAGGTGTGCTACATGTCTGGGCCAGATTCTGAGGCAATGGTTAAGTACCCAATAAGGTGTCCAAAAATGGCATGGGCTTAATTGTGCTCCTGTGTGTAAATTGTTAAAGATCCACTCACCAAGACATTATCAGTGACATTAACTCTCAAGCTCACATCAGTTGCAAAACCATCTCACAGGGGCAAACAACAATGCCTCAATAGATTACAGAATTCTGGGCCTGGTGGCGAGGCCTAGCAGCTAAAGTCCTTGCCTTGAACGTGCCAGGATCCCATATGGGTGCCAGTTCTAATCCTGGAAGAAGTTCCTGGATCCTGGCTCAAGATCGGTTCAGCACCAGCCATTGCGGTCACTTGGGGAGTGAATCATCAGACGGAAGATCTTCCTCTCTGTCTCTCCTCCTCTCTGTATATCTGACTTTGTAATAAAGATAAATAAATCTTTAAAAAAAAAAAAAGAAAGAAAGAAAGAAAAAGAAAGAAGTCTTCGTAGGGTGTTTGAGTGTCCATGCAAACAGGGGGTGAAACTGCATCAAGGTGGTCAGAGAGGCCTCCGCCAGGTCCTGCCAAACAGGGGAGCTGTCTCTTCACACCTTCATGTCATCCACACCTGCTGCATGGACCCCAACAGAAGATCATTAGTTTTTGTGCTCCTACTTATTTCTAACCAACCTAGCAATACAATGAACAATGTATGGGCCTATAAGTAATGCTGAAAATATTAACGTTAAAGATCTGCTAGTACTGAAAACAGGGTGGTGATGCAGGGCGAGTTTGTAAACCAGCTCTGGAACCACCAGTAATTTTCTTGCTCTCTGCCTCTAAGATCATCTCTCACTAGGGCTAAAGTGTCTCTGATTGATATGTTGATTCTGTCTCTTTGTTCTTCCTCAAGGGAGGAATGCGCTCCTAGAAGCATAAGAAATGGGGTGAGGCACATTTTATATTTTACAAGGTAACTTTACCAGGGACCAGAGACCCTAACTGCCTATTATTCCAGTTGACTCCTCACATTTCCTCCCCCAGAAGAATGGACCCCAATTGCTGTTAGGGACAGAAGGATGATGACCACTCCATCTGCTTCGCTGAAAAGGGGCACTGAAGGACCAATAGCAGCAGGGGCTTGTTGGGAGGGGGCGGTCAATCTAGAGGTCCCCAGTAGAATGTAGAAAATCATGAGAGGTGCCTGGAGTTCTGTTTGGGCTGAGTGCTTCTGCTTGTTACTTTTATAGAACTTTATAGACAACAAAACATAAGGCAGTTATAATCTTTCCCAACCTAGCGTGTCATGTGTTCAGTTGGAAACCCTAATTTGAATACTTGAGCTTTAGATGTAAAAGAATGATCAGGTTTTAACCTTAGTTAGAGTAAATATTAGACCTGAGTACTTTAGTCTAAGACTATGGATTAGATTTATATTAGTTTAAATTATTTCCTTTAAGTCTCAAATTTTGAAACAAATTAAATGAATGAAACTTTTCTGAGATGCATAAAATTGCTAACCTAGGTCAATTAGAAGGCACAGAAACAATGCAAGGACTGACGTGTAGCATCAGGATATAAGCCATCACACAGGACAGGTAAATACAAGCTGACTTTAACGTTTCCATAGCATTAGCAATTTTTGCATTTAACTTTTGAAAATGTCATATTAGTTTTGCATCTAGGAAAAAAAATGACAAGTGTTTGATTTTAAAACAATTATACTTTACAAATTGTTGTAAGACCTAAGAGTGTCAAAAAGACATCCAGTCTAGAACATAAAGCACAGCACTAAAAACTTTTGCTAGACTTAAATCATAGTGTATATGGGAAAAGATTTAAACTAGTTGCGATTCCTTTTTTCTTTAAATTTTTATTGCAAAGTCAGACATACAGAGAGGAAGATCTTCCATCCAATGATTCACCCCCCAAGTGACCACAACAGCCGGTACTGCACCAATCCAAAGCTGGGAGCCAGGAGCTCTTCCAGGTCTCCCAAGCGGGTGCAGGGTCCCAAGGATTTGGGCCGTCCTCGACTGCTTTCCCAGGACACAAGCAGGGAACTGGGTGGGAAGCAGGGCCGTCGGGATTAGAACCAGTGCCCATATGGGATCCTGGCGCATTCAAGGCGAGGACTTTAGCTGCTAGGCCACTGTGCCGGGCCCCTAGTTGTGATTTATAATAATCCAACAGTTCATAGTATTTTAACAAGATTTTATAGAACTTTATACATTTTAGGACAGAGGCAAGCAATTAAGAAGTTCTATAATTTTAACAAGTCACCTATTGGCAATTGGAGAACAGAAGAATCTTAAGTAAGTGAGAAGAGAACCCCAAATAATTCACAGAGTAAGGAAGACTTGAGCTCTGCTTCAGAGCACACAGGGTGTCCTATGCCAGTGAAGTCTAGCAAAAATTTGAGAAAGAGATTGGCAAACATTCCTGTAGGGAGCCTAGGCAGGGGTGCAGGCTGAACAGTGATGAGCCAGTCAACTTTTCCCTGGATGTTCTAAACTTCTGGATTAGTCTCTATCTCTGTCACTGAGCTTATTTGGGGATCCTGAGAGACCCTTATGGTCACTGTAAGAGACAGAAGAGGGCAAAGCTAGAGCTAAGAACAGAGAAAGCCGCTCTCCTGTGTCCAAAACGACACTTACAAGCTTCTTTATACTGTGAGAACCACACAGGGCTCCTGGGTGCTACTCCAGTGTGTCAGTGGAGGGTCCTGGGCTGCTTCAGTCCCATGTGGGAAAGCTCCCTAGAGCTTTGTCTCCAGCTCTGTCCTTGCACAGCAGCCAGAGTGGTCCCTGATCAGAAAGTGCACTTGTCCTTCCTTTACTCAGAGCTTTCATGGCTCTGATCTCACTCAGACCCAGGGATGAGCCTTCCAGTGTGCGCACGTTCTGCTGGACAGCGGTGCCCCGATCCAGCCTTCCTGACGCCTCTGTGCTCTGTGTGCAGACTCGCAGACTCGCTCCTGCCCAAGGCATTTTCCCTGGCTGTCCTCCGCCTGCATAGCACCTGCCCAGACACCTTTGCTGGTGACTGATTGTGTCCTTCTAACCTACCTCAAGGTCACCTCTTTGGGGCAGTGCACACTGACCATGATGGTGAGACAGCCAGCTGCCCTGGCCCTCACACACACTCTTGGCCACCTTGCTCCAGCACTGAGTCTGGCCCATAGCATAGTCAGCTGAGTGATGAGTACGCTGCACTTGCCCCTTATAGACCTGGTGGCTTCATTAGTGGAGCCTGAGACAGAGGCTGCCTGTGGTCACTGCAGAGCGGTGTCCTCTCCCACTGGAGTCCAGGTGGCCTGTGCTTTCTCACAAGTGTCCTCTGCCCTCCTGCTTCCCTCCTGCACACACACAGGTAAAGGCCACTGGAGCTTATACACAGGAAGAGCAGGTACAATCAGCCAACAACACTAAGGAATAAAATGAACACAGGAACACGGGAGCTGAGGGATGACCAATCCAGAGTTTAGGGTGCTCCAGCTGCAAGCAACCTCCACTGCCTCAGGTCCATGATACAGGGCAGCCTGGCCACGCTGAGTTCTGTGATGGCAAGTGTTTATGGGCAAGTCCTACTGGAGAGATTAGAACACTGGGGCAGATGAGCCAGCTCAGCAGTGACCACGACAAAGCCTGATGGGCTGAGCAGTTCTTGGGCCCAGACCCATCCTCACCCAAGGCCTTCCAGCCTCTCTTTTCCCATTTTGCAACACACACAGCATCTGGAAGGCTCTTGGTGCTTCTGTTCATTTTCTCTGTCAAATTATAGCAATTTACTGCTGTAATTAACAATCTCTCAGGGCCCGGCGCAATAGCGTAGTGGTTAAAGTCCTCGCCTTGCATATGCCACTGGGATACCATATGGGCATTTGTTCTAATCGCCATCGCGCTGGGCCCAAAGTTAACAATTTCTCAAACAAGAATTGCAATGAGGAATTGCTGTTCAGATTTGCACAGGGAAGGATGGAGCTGCAGCAGGTGCAGCTGATTTGAGACAGGGATGGAGGCGCCCACGCTGGGCTGGAAGGGCCAGGCTCCCACCTCACACTGTGCCACAGGAACACACTCAGATGTCTTTGCAGCAAGGGAGGGCAAGGCTTTTTGAAGACACAGAGGTGGAAACTTGAGCAAGACTTGGATAGTTCAGTCCCCCAAAAAACAGTTGTTTCAAGCTACAAAAACAAGGTAAAAAATTCAGGTCACTACACACGGGGACATGAACATCACTGCACACTTTGCAAATGCACAGATGCAAGGAATCCTCCAGTCACTCTGTATCCCTCTGTCACGCCCCTTCTCCTCTCCAGGCCCTTCAGGTCTCACCTTTCAAGCTGTGAGAGAGCAATCAGAACTTGGTCAGAGCTACAGGGTGCACAGGGCAGCTTCCCCATGGGCATCTGGCCAAGACAAGGCTCTTGGGGCTCCCCCACCCCCAAACACATCCCAGTGCTTACCTGCAGCCTTAGTATAGCTCCTTCCTTTCCCACCTGTAACAGAAAAGAACTAGTGAGAAGCAGGGCGAAGGCAGGAGCTGAGGACCTGCCATAGGAACCCCAGAGGACTCGCTCATCTCAGAGAAGTTTCTAGACCTATGGCTGTAGACCCAGAAAAGGGTCAGAAGGTGCCTCTCCTGGAGGTGTGTCCTCAGCTGGGACCTCCCCCTGACCTGGGGCAGCTGGAACTCAGGTCCCTGCAATCAGAGTCATCCCTGTGGAGTGTTCATCCTTCACCTTCACTCAAGCTTCACACCAGAGCCAGTGTGAGCATCTAGGGTTCAGCAAGGGGTGCAGAGTGCCTCCCAGGAACGGAGTAGGGGGACCTTCTCCCTGGCGGACCGGGGACTCAGACTCAGCACTCATCCTGCCCTACCTGAGAGCTTCCTCTTCATCATCACAACAGTGACCACAGCTCCAATGAGCACAGCTGCCAGGAGGACCAGGCCAGCGATGACTCCCCACATGAGCACAGTGGGCTGAGGAGGCTCTGAGAGGGGAAGAAAGGGTGAGGGCTCTGATCCAGGTCTCAGCCCCACCCTTGCTGAAGGCTCTGCCAGTTTCTGTCCTTCTTACCCCATCTCAGGGTGAGGGGCTCAGGCAGCCCCTCATGCTCCACGTGGCATGTGTATCTCTGCTCCTCTCCAGAAGGCACCAGCACAGCTGCCCACTTCTGGAAGGTTCCATTCCCTGAAGGCCTGGTTTCTACCAGCTCCGTGTCCTGGGTCAGGTCCTCCCCATCTCGGTGCCAGGTGAGTGTGATGTCCTTGGGGTAGAAGCCGAGGGCCCAGCACCTCAGGGTGGCCTTCTGGTCAGAGACCGGGTGGTGAGTCACATGTGCTGTGGGAGGATCTGAGGGAAGATTTGGAAAATTCAGGCCCTGTGTGGTCTTAAGGGACACGAAAGCTACACCCAGAGGACCATCCTGAGAGTAGACTGGACTCTAGGTAGGGGGAGGGGTGCAAACCCAGACCTGGCCTGGACACAGGCTTCAGGATCATGCCTTGTTCCTGCACTAACTCTAGCATGAAGGTGAGAAGTCCCAGTGCCGCACAGCTCAGGTCCCCTCGTGGGGTGTGTGCGGTGGGATTCCACTCTTCATTCACATTGGTGGAGGTGAGGAGACTAGGAAAAATCAGATTCAGCTGTTAGATCCCAAGACCCTGAGCTGGGCGAGAGGCCAGGCCTGAGAGAGCAGCATTGCTGGAGAGTCACCAAAGGCTCAGCAGTATCCTTCTCCACTCTGAGAAGGGTGGGCCTGACAGTCATTCTGAGGAGCAGGACCTAGCAACCTGGGAGGATTGTACCCTATTTCCCTCTAGCCCTGGGTGGCCACCAGCTAGTGAGGAGTGGGCTGAGGGTCCTGCAAGTCCCACACACCTGCTCTCTGCAGAGTGTCCTTTCCCATCTCCAGGTATCTGTGCAGCCACTCCACGCACTCGCGCTCCAGGTAGGTCCTGTGGTGCTCTGCCTCACTGGATCTCTCAGATTTGAGCTTGCTTTTCTGGGCTGCTGTGTCGGCAGCGGTCCAGGTGCGCAGGTCCTCGTTGAGGGCAATGTAGTCCTTGCCATCATAGGCAAACTGCATGTACCCGCGGAGGAAGCGCCCATCCTCACGGACCTCACAGCCATACATCCATTGGAGCGTGTGAGAGCCTGGAAAAGGCACAGTGACTTAAATCCACTGCCCCCCTGCCTGCTGAAACTGAGAACTGAACTTGTACGGTGAAGGTGGGTTTCTGGATGAAGGTCAGACCCTGAGAATCCGGTGGATTTTGGCCTGTCCATGGAGCCCCGGGAGGAATCACGATCTGTGACCCAGGCCCACTAGCACTCACCGGCCTTGCTCTGGTTGTAGTAGCCAAGCAGTGTGAGCAGGTTGGCTCTGAAAAAGAACTCGGTGTTCTGGGCATACCGTGTATTCTGGTCCCAGTACTCCTGCTCCACCTGCAGTATCCACGGTGCCCGCGGCTCTGTCCTCCGGTTCACGTCGCTGTCGAAGCGCACGAACTGCGTGTCGTCCACATAGCCCACAGAGATGAAGTGGGGCTCCCTGAGGCCGGGCCGGGACACGGCGGTGTCAAAATACATCAGAGAGTGGAAGCCTGGGGGAGAGAGGGGCTGAGACTGTTAGATCCAAAAGATCCCCAGAGTGTGGACAGACAAGTTACAGGTGCAACCACGCAAACCCAAAGAAACTTTATTGCTAGTCTCATCCAAGGCAGTGGAGTCCTGACAGGGACCCCCCTTGGTCCTCCTAGGCAGCTTTTTTTTTTTTAATATTCAGAAGAATGTTTTATTTTGACAACCATATATTCATAACATTTTAAAATTTCTTTCAATAGTTCTATCTGTATTTAAAGTTTTCTAGGGTAATTTAAAAAACAATAACATAACAATGTACAATCTATTATAGTGACAGATTTCCCAAATGTGTTAGGTCTTATTTTCTGTATTAAAAAAAAAAAAAGCCTGAGTGAACTTGGTGGGAAAGACAAGGAACTGAATAGAACAGCTTTGACTCTTACGCAGCATAAGTATTTCCAGATTAAACAGTGAATTCAGTGTTGGATAAAGCACAGCAAATAACATTTAACATCGAACGAATTTTCCAGAAAGTCCTTCTTCCTCATTCTCCCCCAAGTAGGGATTACAGGATCTTACTTTTCGGTTGCATACAGGTTAGGATAGCATTTCACCATGTATGCCTCTCCATGAACACCCTTATCCATCCATCCTGGCAGCTTTTATATCCTAGTCAGGTACACCAATCAGCCCTGCACCTTCACACAGTGCAGATCAAATTACACAAAGGACTGTGAGAGCCAACTGGTCCCTTGCCATCACCCAAGGTTAAGGGCTTTTTTTCTCTTTCACTTTTGATTACATTTCTCAGGGGCATTGTCAACTTAGGCCTACTTTCTTACTTAATGGCACGAGTGCTGTTAGTCTTGTCTCTTTACACTTAAGCAAAAGCAATCAGTACAGAAGTAAGATTAGCAGTTAGATGATCAATACTCAATTACTACCATTCTTTTTTTTTTTTTTAAGATTTATTTTATTTTTATTGGAAAGGCGGATATACAGAGAGAGACAGAGAGGAAGATCTTCCATCCGATGGTTCACTCCCCAGGCGGCCACAACGGCTGGAGCTGAGCCCATCCGAAGCCAGGAGCCTCTTCCGGGTCTCCCACGTGTGTGCAGGTTCCCAAGGCTCTGGGTCGTGTTGGGGGCACTGACCATTTCCTGCCCTGTGATTGGTCCTTTGCCCTGATTGGTGGGCCTTGGTGACCTTTAAGCTGATTGGACAAGTTTGACAGATAAGCGGGGGTGGGGGCTTGGCGGGGGAGGGGCTGGAGCGCAAGGGATTTAGCGGTAATAATGGTTTCAGCGGAAGATCGGAATGAAGCGCCTCTGAGACTCTCTCAAGTACGGGGTGATTTCTTCCGCAGGACGGGAGACCCCCGATAGGCCGTCCTCGACTGCTTTCCCGGGCCACAGGCAGGGAGCTGGATGGGAAGTGGGGCTGCCGGGATTAGAACCGGCGCCCATATGGGATCCCAGGCGTGCAAGGCGAGGACCTTAACCACTGCGCCACTGCGCCACCGCGCCGGGCCCAATTACTACCATTCTAATGTTGTATAATATTCAAACAGCTTTTTATGACTCATTACCTTTTCCTCATCTACTTCTCACGAATCCATTAAGATCCCTAATTAATCCTTATCATTACTTTAAACTATTCACTAATCTTACAAGACCCGGGCCGACCCTTGTCTCCCAGCTCTGTGGGGCTGGGCTGGGGAAGACACTCAGGAAGTGCCAAGACCGCGAAATGCTGTGTGGGGAGAAAGGAGGGTCTTAGATACGGTGAAGGAAACGACACGAGGTATAGGGGATGTGTGGTGTGAGAAGAGGCGCCTCCCCGGGGTCCTGTGTCCCCTCCGCGCTCCCCTCGCTCCTGCCCCGCAGAGCCCGTCTCCCTCCCGACCCGCACTCACGCTCCAGGGTCTCGGTCAGGGCCAGGGCCCCCGCGAGCAGCAGGAGGAGCAGGTTCTGGAGCTCCATTATGTCAACTCCGAGTCCGTGCAGACTCTGACCCCGAGTCCCGGGAGACTCTGACCCCGAGTCCGGGGAGACTCTGACCCCGAGTCCCGGGAGACTCTGAATCCAAGTCCGGGGAGATGCCGATCCCGGCTGACTCTGATCCCGAGTCCGGGGAGACTCTGACCCCGAGTCCGGGGAGACTCTGACCCCGAGTCCAGGGAGATGCCGATCACAAGTCAGAGGAGATGACGATCCCGAGTCCGTGCAGACTCTGACCCCGAGTCCAGGGAGACTCTGACCCCGAGTCCGGGGAGACTCCGAATCCAAGTCCGGGGAGATGCCGATCCCGAGTCGGGCTGACTCTGATCCCCAGTCCGTGCAGACTCTGAGCCCGAGGCCGTGCAGACTCTGACCCCGAGGCCATGCAGACTCTGAATCCAAGTCTGGGGAGATGACGATCCCGAGTCCGGGGAGATGACGATCCCGAGTCCGGGGAGATGACGATCTGGAGTCGGACAAACTGACTCAGAGTTCAGTTATACCGGTTCGCGTACGGGCTGCGCTGATAGGCTCTTTTGGAAACAGCTCTCCAATGCGAGTGCGGCCAGTGCAAGCGACACCAGTAACGAGGGGGGAAAATCTCCTTCAGGTTCTTTAGGTTTCATTTCAAAGAAACTCGAAACCGGAGGGTGCCTGGGAGCTCAAGGCTTTGCTTTTGAAAGCGCCAGGATCCCGTTCGGGTGGCAGTTCTAGTCCCGGCGACCCTGGGAGACCTGGAGGAAGTTCCTGTCTTCTGGCTTGGGATCGCCGGTCCGTTGTGGTCACTGAAGATCTTCCTTTCTATATATCTTACTTTGCAATAAAAACAAAATTTTTTTTAAGATTTAGTTTTATTATTTTTTTATTCGAAAGGCAGATATACAGAGAGGAGAGACAGAAAGGAAGATCTTCCGTCCGATGATTCACTCCCTAAGTGAGCGCAACGGCCGATGCTATGCCGATCCAAAGCCAGGAGCCTCTTCCGGGTCTCCCACGCGGGTGCAGGGTCCCAAAGCTTTGGGCCGTCCTCGACTGCTTTCCCAGGCCACAGGCAGGGAGCTGGAAGGGAAGCGGGGCTGCCGGGATAGAACCGGCGCCCATATGGGATCCCGGGCGTGCAAGGACTTAACCACTTGCGCCACCGCGCCGGGCCCAAAAACAAATCTTTAAAAACAGGAATTTCTTGAGACAGGAACTCTGGAGTGCTCTGCTGAGAACAGAGATCCTGAGGGACAAGCCAGGGCCGCGGGCCTGATCCATCCCCGCGGGTACCGAGAACTCTGAGTCGCGCAGACTGTGCAGTTTCGAAGTTATAATGTTCTTGATCTCTGGCTATAATAATCGCTGATCCGAAGCCAGGAGCCAGGAACTTTTTCCAGGTCTCCCACGCAGGTGCAGGATCCCAAGGCTTTGGGCTGTCCTCGACTGCTTTCCCACAATCAGGGAGCTGGATGGAAAGTGGGGCTGCTGGATGAGGTAGAACCGGCACCTATATGGGATCCCAGCTCGCTCAAGGTGAGGACTTTAGCCGCTAGTGCACCGTGCTGGGTGCTTGCTCTCTCTCTCTCTCTGTTAAATTTTATGTTTATTGGAAAGGCAGGGGAGAGACAGAAAGTTCTTCCATCTACTTGTTCACTCCCCAAATGGCCACAACAGCCAGAGTTGAGCAGATCCTCAGTGAGGAGTCAGGAGCTTCTTGCAGGTCTTCCATGCAGGTGCAGGGTCCCAAGGCTGTGGGCCATCCTTAGCCTTCCCAGGCCACAAGCAGGGAGCTGTAGGGAAAGTGGAGCAGCTAGGACATGAACTAGCACCCATATGGGATCCCTGGAGCTTGCAAGGTGAGAATTTAGCCATTTGAGCCATGGCACCATCCACCTTCCTTTTTTTTTTTTTAAGATTTATTTTTATTTGGGCCCAGAGCTGTAGCGTAGTGGCTAAAGTCCTAATCTTGCACGAAGCAGGATCCAGTATGGGCATCTGTTCTAATCCCGGTAGCCCTGCTTCCCATCCAGTTCCCTGCATGTAGCCTGGGACAGCAGTTGAGGACAGCCCAAAGCTTTGGGAACCTGCACCCACGTGAGAGACCTGGAAGAAGCTGCAGGCTCCTGACTTCAGATCAGCTCAGTTCTGGTCATTCTGGCCACTTAGGGAGTGAACCAGGATGGAAGATGGAAGACGGAAGATCTTTCTTTCTGCACCTCTTTTTTGTAGCTCTGCTTTTCTTTGGTCATCCTTGACTGCTTTCCCAGGCCACAAGCAGGGAGTGTACAGGAAGTGGGGTGCTGGGACATGAACTGGCATCCATATGGCATCCCTGAGCATGCAAGGCAAGGATTTTAGTCTCTAGGGTGCTGCCCCAAGCCCTAATATAAATAAATCTTAAAGAAAAAAATGTAAAACAACTTTAAGGGCTGGTGTGTGGCACACTGCGTTGTCACTACCGGTGACACCCACATGCCCCATGGCAATGGCGGCAAACCTACTTCTGAAATCAAGAGCTCCTTCCTGGTGTTCCCAGTGGGTGCAGGGGCCAAGGACTTCTGCCTTCCCAATGGGATGCCCATATTGGTTGTTCACCAGATAAATGGCACCGTGGTTGATTTCCTGTTTGAACTGTTGTGAACAGTGCTGCAATAAACCTGGTAGTGCAAGCATCTCTTTGACACACTGTGTTCACGTCTCTGGGTACATACCAGTGAGCTTCTGGAGCATATGACCAGTCTATCCCTAGGGTTTTTAAAAAATGTACAATAAACTGTATTTATGCGATATTTCACTGAACATAATTTCCAAGAGGTTCTGAGCTCTAAGATGAGAACAAGAAAACACAGTCTAACTCATCAGAAGAGTTTCTTCTCCCTGTTGACAACTAACATTTCATAAGTTGAGATTTTACCCAGATACAGAAAGGAGAAAGGTAACATGAAGGTACAAGAATCAAACTGTGGGTTTGTGCTGTAGCTTGATAGGCTAACCCTCCATCTGCCAGAGCTGACATCCTATATGGGTGTTGGTTCATGTCCTGGCTGTACCACTTCTAATCCAGCTCCCTGCTTGTGGCATGGGAAACCAGTGGAAGAACTCAAGTCCTGCGGCCTCTGCACCCATGTGGGAGACCATCTGGGGAGAGAACCAGTGGATGGAAGATTTCTCTCTCTCTCCTTCTCTGTAAATCTGCCTTTCAAATAAAAAACAAAATCATTTAAAAATAAAAGAATCAAATTGTGAGGATATCATTAAGTCCTTGCATGGTATATCTGCCACCTTTGTGTGTTTGTAATAGTAATGACTAATTTTTCCCCTGTCAGGTTCAATTTTTTTTTTTTTTTTTACATCAGATTTACAGAGAGGAGAACTATCTTGTGTTTGCTGGTTCACTCTCCATGCGGCCACAAAGGGCAGAGCTGAACTGACTCGAAGCCAAGAGTCTGGAGCTTCTTTTGGGTATCCCATGTGGGTGCAGGGTCTCAAGGCTTTGGGCCGTCCTCAGCTGCTTTCCCAGGCCACAGCAGGGAGCTGGAAGGGAAGTGGAGCAGCCAGGATATAAACTGGTGCCCAGATGCAAGGCAAGGACTTTCGCCACTGGGCTATTGTGCTAGGCCCTTCGGTGTCATTTTTTTTTTTTTAAGGTAAAAGATCACAGTATGTAAAAACACTGCACTTATTCCTCAAAATCGTTGAAAATAGTGAGGTCTGGAGATTAATTCTTTGAGTGCAGGCTGGGACCATGATGCTTACTGATCAAGTTTAACATACTGGTTCCAACTTTGGTGACCATTAGCAAACTGGCACAAATAACCTGCAGGTAAACCTTTTTCAGACTGGTAGCATTTCATTCCATAATGCCAGCCATGGTCCCAAATGTAGCTTGGCATACCTCAGAGCCCCTTGGGTCCTTAGACAGCTGGTAAGCCCTAAAGAGGAACCCTGCAGCCAGGAGGGCACACTACTTGCTTCTGTGTAGCCAGTAATTCCATCAATAGCAGCCATCACTGAGAGGTCAAAGCTAAAATGATGTAAAGGATCCATCGGCCCAAGTTCCTCTCCCTTGTTCTTCTTACTCTGTGTGGACAGGAGGAGACTCTGCCAGATCTGTACCACTGTTTTCCCAAAGGCCTGGGCTGCAGGTAGGGAGCACAAAAGTGGCAAATCAAGGAACTGAGGTACCACCGGAAATGACATGAAGACTTACTGTGCCTGGGACATGTTTCTAATTTGTAAGAAACCTCCACATTATCCAGCATGACTTCCAAGGCCTCCTGTGAATCAGCTGTTTACTAAAAATGCAAGAGCCAAAACAGCTCCTGGTAATTTGGAACTTGCACTGTGTGAAAGATAGACTCTTAACAACACTTTCCTAGGTAGACGTGAAATTGGGAGTGAATTGTGAGAGAAATTTTCTTTTCTTTTTTTTAAAGATTTATTTATTTTTATTGGAAAGTCAGATATACAGAGAGGAGGAGAGACAGAGAGGAAGATCTTCCATCCAAAGATTCACTCCCCAAGTGACCGCAATGGCCAATGCTATGCCGATCCAGAGCCAGGAGCCAAGAACTTCCTCCAGATGAGGACTTTAGCTGCTAGGCCACCGCTCTGGGCCCTGTGAGTGAAAATTTCATGAAAACAGTTAACAAGGAGTCACAATAGATCTCCTGACACGATTATCAATAACATATGAAAGATATAAGAGGACCCAGCGTGGTGGCACAGTGGCGCAAGTGGTTAAGGTCCTCACCTTGCACGCCCCGGGATCTCATATGGGTGCCGGTTCTAATCCCGGCAGCCCCGCTTCCCATCCAGCTCCCCGCCTGTGGCCCGGGAAAGCAGTCGAGGACAGCCCAAAGCTTTGGGACCCTGCACCCACATGGGAGACCCGGAAGAGGCTCCTGGTTTTGGATCAGCATAGCATCGGCCGTTGCGGTCACTTGGGGAGTGAATCATCAGATGGAAGATCTTCCTCTCTATCTCTCTTCCTCTCTGTATATCTGACTTTCCAATAAAAATAATAAAAATAAATCTTTAAAAAAAGATATAAGAAAACACAATGGCATTTATGAAACAGAAACACTTATATGAAATTATATACAAGAATGAGGTCATGGTATTCAGAGTATTGTCACAGAATCACACCTTCATATTATCACAGAATCTGAGAATCATAGAAATGAAATGATTTAAGATATGAATTATATGGTTTAATCCATAGTAAAATGGAAAAGTGATTGCAAAATAATAGAAACTAAAAGAAATTCTAGTATCATGACACAAGTTTCACTTAGAATAGAGAACAGGAAATGATTCATAATTCAAGAATTTATTTCGTGTTATACATTCATTCTGACCAACTTTTTTTAAAGATTTATTTTCATTTTCACTTGGAAGGCAGAGTTGCACAGAGGAGAGAGATCTTTTATACAACAGTTCAGTCTCCAAATGTCTGCATTGGCTGCAGCTCGGTTGATCCAAAGCAAGGAGCCAAAAGTTTCCCTGGAGTTTCCCAATGGGTGCAGGGACCCAAGGTCATGAGCCATCCTCCTCTGCTTTTACAGGCCACAAAGAGGGATCTGGATTGGGAATGGAAAAGCTGGGACTCCAACTGGCATCCATATGGGATGTTGCTACCAAAGGCTGAGGCCTCAGCTACTACACCACAGCACTGAATCCTCTGACCAAGTTTTTACCACAGCAGATAAAAAGAGACCTGCAACAAGACACAATAAAATGACATTTCTGTAAGGAAATGAAAAAAAGTGATCCTCAAGGCTTTAGCAGGCAACTAAAAACCATGGCATCTGGCAGCTAGAAGATGCTAAAACAATGCTTTCCAAATGCCAAGGAAAAATACTTTCAACATAACATTTTATATCAAGCAAAGGTGCAAGATTAGTGGTTTAAAGACATGTTAAGTTGCTGAAGTTTTTACCATTTTATTTTTCATGTTTTCCTCTTCCCTTAGAACATTACTAGATGGGAAACAAAAGCGATGGAGAAATCAAAAAGTTGGGGATACATGGGAATCAGTGTAAGAGACAGGTGAGCCTTCCAAGCCCTGTACTGTGCAGATCCAAAGTTCCTTCTCTCTTTGGACACAAGGCAAGCCACTCTGTCTGTGTGCTGAGTAAAAAGGACTGATCTGCTCTTCCCACAAGCCTTGGTTCCTTTATGAGAAATAGAAACCAGCACAGGTTGCACAATGATAAGAACTTGCTATTAGTGCTAGCTGGAAATAACATGACTAAAGGCTGTGGTTCCCAGTGACCTTCTAATCAAATGGCATGATGGTAGGGCAATTTCATTATGTGCTGGCTGCATGGCAATTCCCATAACTTTTAAAAATAGCCCCAGAAATGAGTGGTAGTCCAGTCCCATGCCATCCCTTTTATTTCTCATTTTTCCTCATGACTTTATTATTTGATTTTTAACTTTTTTTTTACACAATTGAGAAGGATGCATACCCATGTGGGTCTCTTATTAGGTGAGGAGACACATGTGGGCCTCTTATTAGGTGAGGAGGATCAAGGTATCAATTTTTTTTTCTGTGTCTGCCTGGAGGGAAGGTACGATGTCCACTTCTTGTCTATGGCCATACCACCCTAAATGTACTCAAGCTGGTCTGATCTCGGATGTCCACTTCTTGCTGTCAAACTACAATAGCAGGGCCCGGCGTGGTGGCCTAGCAGCTAAAGTCCTCATCTTGCATGCACCAGGATCCCATATGTGTGCCGGTTCTAATCCTGGCAGCTCCACTTCCCATCCAGCTTCCTGCTTGTGGCCTGGGAAAGCAGTTGAGGACGGCCCAGAGCCTTGAGACTCTGCACCCGTGTGGGAGATCTGGAGGAAGTTCTTGGCTCCTGGCTCTGGATCGGCATAGCATTGGCCATTGCGGTCACTTGGGGAGTGAATCTTTGGATGGAAGATCTTCCTCTCTGTATATCTGACTTTCCAATAAAAATAAAACAAACAAACAAACAAAAACTACATCAGCACTTAGGGGTGGGTGATGATCCTTTGGTGTTAGAATCCCTGACAAAGGGAAGAGTGTTCTGAGGGTTTTACTTGAGAGGTGATGATAGCCCTGAGACTTATTATCTTTATTATTCCAGGGTTGAGAAAATTTTTCCAAGAGTCTATTGTTTCACAAAGTCCATGTTAGTGCAGCCACAGATCCAGAAACTTGTTGCGAAGCTTGATCAGGAGAGTTGTCCAATCTGTTTTGCTTTCCGTCCTCTGCTGGCCTAGATTAGCTGACTTTCATGTCCTCTGTGTACATCTGGACATGCTATCCATCACACAGGCATCAGCAACTGAGGAGGCTCATTTCTGACACAAGTGCTTCAGACTGGACCACATATCCTGTGATTTTCCTTGTGGCCAAGGTCTGAGTCCAGCTAATCCAGTTGGGGAGTACCCCAGCAAACCTTACCTGGGGTGACTTCAGACTTGACTCTTATATGTGCCAGCTAATTTAGAGTCAGGTGTGGCCTGTCATCTGCACCAGCCAATGCACATATTGGTAAATGCAACTGCCTGGTCTGTTCCTCCTCCCACACCATATTTCATGTCAATTGATAGGTGCTGCAGCCCAGCCCAGCCCAGCCCTCCACAGATCCAGTTCCTACACATTCCAGTGGATGCTACAGCATAGCCCGGGTGAGCTCCAATAACCCCCACTAGGCATACAAGCAGCCCTGAATGTTGAATGTATTGGCATGTGCTGTTGTCTAGTCTGGCCCACCCCATATCCCATCTGGCTCTCATGAACACACATGTATGCCGCAGCTCAGCTGAGCTCAGCTCACTCCCACACCAATGAGTGCTGCCACCTTGCCCAGCCCAGTCCATCCCTAGCCATTACTCTTATGCTAACCAGCACCAGCTGCAGTGCAACAGAGTAGAGCCCATGGTTTCATATAAGATCTGCTGCTAGCTATGGATCTTGTGAGTGGTGGCTGGTGCTTCCACCCAGCTTGGCATGGGTTCAGTCTCAGCATTCATTGGTGGGTGTTTTGGGGTAGCCAGGCCAGGCACAGCCCTCACCCTCTTCTGTGCCAGTGGGTGTAAGGCTTGGCCCCAGATCCAGCCCAACATACTGTGACAAGTGTTAAAAACTTATCTAAACTGGTCCACCCCAGATCATATGCTCTCCAGCAGGAGCTACGGCTCTCGTGCCACGACCTGGCAGGAAACTGGCCATGATCTTCCTAGTAGTGTTCTCCAAGTTTGTCTCCCAACCCCAGATCTTAGGTCTGCCATCAGTCCTGGCCTGACATAGCCTCCTCCCAGCCTCTGCTCCTATGAGTGCCAAGTGAGTTCTTGTCATAAGCTGAGTTTCATTGTCTAGCTTGGATTGGTTGGTCTCCACTCCCAGCTATCTGCTCAGCCTGCGAGTGCTGCAGTCCCACAGAGGTGAGCCTACAAATCCCTTACACAATTTGCCCCCAGATCTGGATCTCTTGTGTTGTGGTGGGTGTTGTAGCTGTCATGGCCTAGCATGCTTCTTTCTTCTTATTTTCCAGGGTACTGTCGCTGGGTTGATATGTCTAAGGCCATGGGTGAGCCAACAGCTCCTAGTTTCCCTTTATTTAAAAGGAGATGGGTCAGCACACAGGATTTGTGCCATTTTGACCATGATGTGGACTTTAGAGCTTTATAGACCTTTGGATGTCCAGAACAATAGAGAAAGCTCAGGTTGGGTCTTTCCCCTCTCATCCCCTCCCAGAGTTAGAGAGAGGGGACAACAAGGAGATTTTTCCTCTGTTGGTTCACTCTCCCAAATGGCTGAAATGGCCACGGCTGAGGCAAACCAAAGCCAAGAGCCAAAAGCCAAAAATCCCTTCCAGGTCTCCGATGTAGGGGGTAGTGACTCAAGCACTGGTGACATCTTCATACTTACCCCAGGCAAAATAGCAGGGAGTTGGATCAGAAGCGGAGCAGCTGGGAGCCCAACTGGCTCTTAGAATGTTGGCACTGCAGAAGGTGGCTTACCTACCGCTTTCACAATGCTGGCTCACATTGTACTTTTCTGTTCTGGCAACTCCCTTCCCACTCCACCCACATTCTTGGTAAGTCCCTTCATTTCTCAAGGGTTGATGCCACATACCACAGACTCCAGATCTTTATTGTTGGTAAATTCACCATTTGGGGGGGATTTCCTTCAACTTTTGGAAAGATACATAAGGGAAATGTCATGGCTTACAATATTAATTTTCTTTCACAATTATGTGTGTGAATTTGTGAGTCAGGCCACACACACCTCTCTAACCCCACACAGGAAAAAATAGGGTCATTGTGTGGCGCTTACTAGGGTCACAGCTGAACCTTCTGTTACAAGAGTCTGAGTCACTGCAGATCTATTTCCTTTGCAGCAGCTGCAACAAGAAACACAATCCCAGAGCTGGTACCTTCTCTGTCTCTCAGGACCACACAGGAAGCCGTCCCTGTGTTTAAGCTGAAGGGTGGGATGACCTGAGAATGCATCCTTGGGACTCTGGTCTTCAAATCTCTTCTCTGGGCAAAGGGTTGGCAGAGGGCCTTTTCACACAGCTGAGCAATCAGATACAGCAAGGCTTTGAAACCAGGGACGATGTTATTGTCCTCAGGCACAACTCGAGAGAGCACTGAATACTTGCTCTTTTCTTTTTTAAAAAAAGATTTATTTTTATTGTAAAGTCAGATACATATATATATAGAGAGAGAGGAAGAGAGACAGAAATATCTTCTGTCCAATGATTCACTCCCCAAGTGACCACAATGGCTGGTGCTGTGCCGGCCGAAGCCAGGAGCCAGGAACTTCCTCCAGGTCTGCCATGCAGGTGCAGGATCTCAAGGCTCTGGGCCGTCCTCGACTGCTTTCCCAGGCCACAAGCAAGGAGCTGGATGGAAGTGGAGCTGCCAGGATTAGAACTGGTGCCCATATGGAATCCTGACGCATACAAGGCGAGAACTTTAGCTGCCAGGCCACCATGCTGGGTCCTTTTCTTTCCCTTTTAAAGACTGATTTTTATCCATTTGAAAGACAAGAGTTATAGGTTCACACCTCAAACGACCCCAATGACCAGTGCTGTGCTAGTGAGAAGCCAGGAACCTGGAGCTTCTTCCAGGTCACCTGTATGGGTTCAGGGGCCCAAGCATTTAGTCCTTTCTGCTTCCCTGCTTCCAAGTCAGCTGCTTTTAACTGCTTAGGCACAGCAATGTACTGCCCCCATGTGAGAGGCTGGACTAAATTCAGTACTGCTGGGTTGGGCACAAGCTCTTCCTGGAAGTTGAGGGTTATCTGGGGAGTTAACCAGTGGGTGGAAGATTTCTGTGTTTGCCTTTCAAATAAGATTGAAACAAACAAACTAAAATATATATATATATATATATATTTTTTTTTTTTTTTAAAGATTTATTTTTATTATTCTTTCATTGGAAAGGCGGATATACAGAGAGGAGAGACAGAGAGGAAGATCTTCCGTCCGATGATTCACTCCCCAAGTGAGCACAACGGGCCGATACTATGCCGATCTGAAGCCAGGAGCCTCTTCCGGGTCTCCCACGCGGGTGCAGGGTCCCAAAGCTTTGGGCCGTCCTCGACTGCCTTCCCGGGCCACAGGCAGGGAGCTGGAAGGGAAGCGGGGCTGCCGGGATTAGAACCGGCGCCCATATGGGATCCCGGGCGTGCAAGGCGAGGACCTTTAACCACTTGCGCCACCGCGCCGGGCCCTATATATATATATTTTTACTTCAAGCAAAAGGTGACATTCTGAGGATGTTAACAAAAAAAATTAAACTTGAAGGAAATGCATAGTAAATTGCTTGTTTAAATAAAAAAAAAAAAAATGGGAATGTCTATAGGCCTGGTGCGATGGCGTAGCAGTTAATGTCCTCATCTTGAACACGCCGGGATCTCATATGGGGACTGGTTCTAGCCCTGGCAGCCCTGTTTCCCATTCAGCTCCCTACTTGTAGCCTGGGAGAGCAGCAGAGGATGGCCCAAAGCCTTGGGACCTTGCACCCACGTGGGAGACCCAGAAGAGGCTCCTGGCTTCAGACTGGCTCAGCCCCAGCCATTGCAGGTGCTTGGGTAGTAATCATTGGATGCAAGATCTTCCTCCCTGTCTCTCCGCCTCTCTGTGTATCTGACTTTCCAATAAATCTTAAAAAAATTTTTCAAGATAGATATTTCACTCAATATGTAGTCCATTTTGGTTTTGCTTTGTATATTTCAGCACAGGAATTTAGATTTCTACCAAGAGAGTGCTCTGTATTCTATTGGTCTTTCAGTGTTACAGTTCCAACTTATTTCTGGAATTTTCAGTACTTCATATGTACTAGTCTTATCAGTACTGATTGCATGAATTTATCTTATTTATATTTTTAAAGATTCATTAATTTTTATTGGAAAAGTAGATTCTGCAGTGTGGGAGACTGCCCTCTAGAGCTGCACCCAGTAACTGCCTTAATCCATTGAACCCCATTGATCAAGATATAGATAAGCTAGAATAAGATTATGAATTAGATTAAGTTTGTAGTTAAGATTTAGAATAGAGAGTTAGATTATGAATTAAAGTAAGTTTGCAGTTTAAGAATTAGAGAGTTGTTAAGATATAGAGTGTGAGTTAAGCTAAATATCTTTACAAGTTTTGTGGTTTTGAGATGGTTATGCCCTGAGACATAGGTGCTTGGTCCCCATGACAATGGATTCTCAGAACTGTTAAGATCAGTCTGTGCTGGCCTAGTTAGCATGCCAAATTTCTGTGTGCCAACCGCAAGTATCCTGCTTGAGTTGCCTTGTCAAAATGACATCGTGTTGAATGTCTGTCAGACGCTCTCCCCCATTGAACATAAGAGCTAGTGTATGAAAGCAATAAACTGCCACTTGATCAGAATCCTGTCTTGTGGTCGTTTCTCTCTTGCCTCCTGTCCCCATTCCTTTGTCCTATAGGTTTGATTCCTGAGTTGAAGTTCTGCGGGCCGGGACACTACAGCAAGAGGAAAGAAAGTGAGAGATGTCTTCCATCCGATTCACTCCCCAAACTGCTGTAATGGCCAGAGATGAGTTGCTCTGAAGTCAGAGGCCAGGAGTTCTTCCACATGGGTGCATGAGCCCACCAAAAAATCCTGCTTCACTGCTTTGTTAATCGTAAACAGAAAGCTGAATTGGAAGTAGAACAGCTGAGACATAAACTGCTACCCATAAGGGATTCTGGTCCTGTAGGGTAGAGGATGGGCTTAGCCTTCCACACCGTTAAGCTGGCCCTGAATATACCAATTATTGTTTGTCCTTTTTAAAGATTTACTTACCTTTACTGGAAAGGCAGATATATAGAGAGGAGGAGAGACAGAGAGGAAGATCTTCCTTCTGATGGTTCACTCCACAAGTGGCCACAACGGTTGGAGCTGAGCCAATCCAAAGCCAGGAGCCAGGAGCTTCTTCCAAGTCCCCCATGTGGGTGCAGGGTCCAAAGGCTTTGGGCCGTCCTCCACTGCTTTCCCAGGCCACAAGCACGGAGCTGGATGGGAAGCAGGGCTGCTGGGATTAGAACTGGTGCCCATATGGGATTCTAATGCATTCAAGGTGAGGGCTTTAGCTGCTACATTATTGCGCCGAACACTGAATATGCCAATTTAAATGTAGAATTTTCACCCATGGGAAGTTTTCTGCAAAAGAATACCATTCACAAAGCTGGGCCCGGCGGCATGGCCTAGTGGCTAAAGTCCTTGCCTTGGGCATGCTGGGATCCCATGTGGGCGCCAGTTCTAGTCCTGGCAGCTTCACTTCCCATCCAACTCCCTGCTTGTGGCCTGGGAAGGCAGATGGGGATGGCATAAGGCCTTGGGACCCTGCACCCGCGTGGGATACCTGGAGGAGGTTCCTGGTTCCCGACTTTGGATCAGTGCACCGCTGGCTGTTGCGGTCACTTGTGGAGTGGGTCATCGGACGGAGGATCTTCCTCTGTCTCTCCGCCTCTCTGTATACCTAACTTTGTTGTAGAAATAAATAAACCTTTAAAAAAAAGTTAACAGCTGATGCCAGGTCATACCTTTCAGAATCATGGATAGATCTACATATTCTAGGGCTTGGGAGTAGATATAGCATACAGTGGGAAATCAGGGATTAATGGCCATAGAATGGTGAATTTTAAAATGATTTATCCATTAAAAAGGCAGAACGATGAAGAAAGAGGAATGCAGGAAGAGACAGATATCCGTTGACTGGGTCGCTTGGCGATGGCTGTTCAGGGTTGAGTTAGGGCTGGGCTAGGCTGAAGCCAGGCGAAAGGAACTCCATCTGGGGGTCCCACCCAGGTGAAAGTGGCCCAAGTACCTGAGCCATTGTTTGCTGCCTTTCTAGGGGCATAGCTGGAACTGGACTGGAAGTGGGACAGGTGGGACTCAAACTGGTAAGTGGCAGAACAACCTGATGCACCACACCCTGGCCCCCAGCATTCTGATCTCAAATGCAGTCAGCAGCCACACTCTCAATACATTCTCTTTCCTCTAGTCTCCCAATCCCAATCCTCCATTAGTCATGCATTTCATGTTCACTATGCTAAAGGACCTGTTTGGCCAGAGAAGGCTGCTTCAGGCAATCCTGGCCAATAATGCAAAGGGGCAAAAAGTGAGATCTAGAATAAAACTGCCCAGAACTGAATTCTAGCCCTGACACCTCATAGCCAAGTTTCCTTGTTCAGTTAATGTTTCCTACCCTGACTTTCTTGAACAAGTGATTTGCATTTTCTAGATTTTATTGTATTCTGGAAAATAATTTCTCAAATGGTTACAGTAAATGAGATAAAAGCAAAGAACCTAGGAAATAAATATCTGGCCCAAATCTAAACCACAACACTAACTGCTGTGGCCATTTGGAGAATGGATCAGCAAATAGAAGATCTTTTTCTCTTTCCTTCTGTCATCTGCCTTTCAAAAAAAATAAATCTTTTAAAAAGAAAGGAAACGGTTATTGCACAGCACAGGATCACACAAAGCAAAACAGAGTTAAATGTATTTACTTGGGCTTCAGGGGTAACGCATCACTGGGGCCTGGAGCTCTGGGTCTGCGCTGCCTCCTCCGGCAGCGGGGCCGGAATGGAGTTGGCCGTGTCTGGCAGAGGCTGTGCAGGTTTGGGATCTGAGGAGAGCGGCAGGCAGCATCAGTTCCTGTGGCTCCTGACACCCAGCAGAGCCCACCCAAGTGTCCCCTGCAGTCCTCCAACTGCCACCCCCACCTCCTCCTGGCTGCCCCCATTTTCTTCACTACCTCCCCCTACCTGCTTGGTTCCCCAGCTGCGCCTCAGGCCGGTCTCCCCAGAGCACGTGCCTGGGATCGTTGAGGAACCGCTGGCTGCGCTGGCATGTCAGGCAGGTCTGCACTGTCCAGCGCTGCCCCTTGCGGCCTGGGATGCCAGTGGCAGGAAGGAGTAGAGAGCTTGCATTAGCAGAGACCAAGGTCTCAAGGCGACAAACACCTCACCCTTGCCGGGAATCTCCTTGTCTATCAGGAATCTCACCACCACCACCGCAGGTTAGCATCCTGCTTTCGGGCTGCTACACTGTTTTAACTGTTTCCACCTTCAATCTCATCAGACTGTCATTCCCCTAAGTCTAGCACCTGACAGATTTTGGAAAACAACTTCTTGGGTGAACAAGTGGCAGTGGAGCGTACGCTACGACGCTCGGGAGAGGCCGCCATCCTGCAGGGAGTACTCACGTCTCTGGCGCTGCGTGCAGGTGAGGCCCGGGACGAGCAGGGAAGAGCAGCCGCGACACAGGGTCCTCTTCACCGAGGGGTCCCTGGGGGCAGAGGGGAAGGCGGGTCCCTACGCCTGCCTGGCCTCCCCGTCCCACACCCGCCGCCGCCCGCCCCGTCTCACCGCCGCAGGACCAGCCGTTTCGCGATGGTCCGCTCCGTGTGGCAGTAAAACCTCGCCAGCGCCTGGTTCTCCGGGTCCTGCGCGAGCACACAGTGGGCGGCCTGGGGACGGCGGGGAGGGGTCACTGCCAGCCCGAAGGCACCGGGACCGCTTCCCTCTGCACGTCCTAGCCCGGACTCACCTGGTAAAGGAAGTTAAGCCTCTGAAAGGCCTCGCGGTCCTTCACTGGCCCCGCCATCCACACAGCGCCCGGCGTCTCCGGCTGGGACAGCCTCCGGCTCCGCCCACCGCGCACGCGTAAGGCATTCTGGGAAATGTAGTCCCGGGTCGGGACAATCCACCCACTGCCGCCTCTCAAAATCTTGTATAAAACCCTTTACCCTGCTCTCCAATCCTTCCATGAACCTATGAGCAGGTTTGGTGTCTTAAATGCAGATTGCGGAAGTTGTGTGTGAGATATGTCCAGCTAGACCTTCCGCATCAGTCTCCGAAGCTAAAGGATGGGGCGGCCGTGTGTGTTGACAAAACTAAGTGCCCCTCGGGCTTGTGGAAGGGGCAAAACCCGTGGGGTGCTGCGGAGGAAATGCCTCTCGCCCCTCAGAAAACAGTTTACTCACTTTTCCATCTACTCAGGGAGCACTTTGTGGGGGCTACCCACCCACACAGTGAGTCATGCACTAAGTCATCCTCATTTGTTTCCCATTACTAGTTTTGCCACATAACAGACACCTGTCAGTAGCATCCCCTGCTCCTGAAACTACACCCCAGCCCACGCCCTGACCTCTTTCCATCTTCCATTTGTTCTGCCTTCCTGTTTACTTCTGATTCAAGGAGCCACTGGTTCTTGAGGACACAAGTCCAGAAGTGGCCAACCCTAGGGGCAGTGCATGCATGAGCTCTGGGAGGTGGGAAGGTTTTCTCTCTCTGGGACCCCTCGTGGCAGGCAGCAGAGAACCAGTCTCTAGCTCAGAGGAGAGAAATCAGCTGATGCATGAGCGGGGTTGTTTCAGGGTCCTCAGATCCAGGTTAACACCCATGCAGACCATGATCACACACAGAGGGAAAGCTGGGGAACATGTCTCCAGAGCTTGGTGGTTCTCACGCATGGGTGTGAGGCCACTGCCAAAGCACCACATGACACAGGGATCGCTTCAGTGGATCCTTTGTTCCATATAATTTTTTTTTTTAAACCAACCAAAGTATCTTGCCACAAAGAACCATAGTCAAGGCACAAAGGTAAGAGGAGGAGTGCGGACGTGGTCCTGCTGAGGTGGTAGGAAGAACAAATGCCCTTGGAGAGCTGCAGTTGCTTGTCCTGGTCTTCTTTGGAGATCAACACACAAGCAGCAGGTCACCCGAGATGCTGGAGTTTGGCTTGGCATGCAGTGCTGACCCTTTTTTATGCACCCTACCGGTTGTTTAGTTTGGCCTAACATTAAAAATGACTTTAACATTCTCTGAAAAGGGGAAATGGTGAAGGGTGAAAAGATGATGGTGACAAACAAGCCAAAGCCTGCCTCGTATGAACAGCAACACCAGACCAGGCCAGATGCACAAAGGCTGAAGGAGGTCACTTTTCTGGCCCTTTCTTACTCACACACACACACACACATACCACCCTCCTTTACCCTGTCCTCAGGGTGAGAGACTCCGCTACCTTGCACACTGCCTGCTGCCATTTTTGATCCCCCTTCTCTGATGCCTGACTTGCTCCTTGCCCTGTCCCCTTGGGGAAAACTGGGAAAGGGTAGATGTGTCTCACCAGCTCTTCCAACCTGCTTCTGGGGAGCAGCAGGGGGAGTGACTTCTTGGAGCCAAGCCACCCCACCACGAGGGAGCCAGCAAGCAGCCCGCTCTGCTGGCAGGTGAGGTGGGGATCTGGGGCCTCCTGTCTTTTCATCTGCCCTTTTCCCCTACATTTCTAGTTTTTTGGCCATTCTTCTTCATAATCACAAACCCACCCTGGGATCAGAAGGTGAAGAAATCCTCTACCCTTTCATTTGTCTCTAGGACTTTTCATGCCTTCTGTCCTGACCTTCATTTTACTATTCTTCGCCCTTGAAACAACTCAATTTTCAGATGTGTGACAGCAGCTGTCACTCATCTTCTCTTCAATCTAGAGGTGCACAGACCTGTCACCTTCCTCAGGAAACAAAACTATCCTGGGTTGAAGCGCCCCCTGGAGGATATTGTGGTGTTTTGGCTTCTTTCTCCAGTTTAAGTTGGCGCCTCCCCTGGACTTTTTTTTTTTTTTTTTAAAGTAAAAGACCCTCCTTCCTTGCCAAGCCATTCCTGTGCAACAGAAAACCTGGTAGACTCCCGGGGGGACACGAGCCCCTGGGAACCAGCTCCCCATCTTAACAGTTAGGAGGGACGCACAGCTGTGCTTTCACTGCAGCCCATTCATATCCACTCCTGCCCACAAACCATCAAGGAAACCAGAGTTTCTCTGAGATGATTCCCGACTAACAACCAGGCTGACATGAAGCCACTCCTGCAGGCCATGGGAAGGAAGGCCTGTATTCTGGACCCTGCCTTATCCCAATTTTTCCTATGTCCCACCCGGTCACTCCCAATCCGTTGGAGGCCTGATGGTGAGTGGTGCAGCATTCTTCCGACCGGCCCGGATACCTGGATAGAAGAGTGGCCAGAGTTTCTCTGTGAAAGTGTCAGTGAAGGTGTAGATATGAGAGCGGTCTGTGACGTTATAAAAAGACAGCGTGCCAGCCTCATAGTCTAGGAATATGCCCACCCGCTTGGGTTTCACTTTGATATGCAACGGGGTGAATGGGGTGGTGGTGGCTGCATATTTGTCCCCATTCCACAGCCGTACCCGCCAGTAGCCAGTCTCAGGGAGTGGAGTCAGCTCGCCCTTCCGGCTCACGGAGTCCCGGCACACGCCCACTGCCCAGTGGGTCTTGTCGCCCACCTCCACCTCCCAGTAGTGTCGACCTGAGGTGAAACCTTCAGTAGCCAGGACACAGGGGTAGAAGGTGAAGCGCCGTGGCGTATCTGGGAGGTCCCGGAGTCTTGTCTCCACGAACTTGACACTCTTACGATCTTCAGAGAGGACTAGGTTAGGATGAGCAGTCTCGGGGTCCAGGGTTACATCCGCTGGCGGGAGAAGCCAGAGTGGGGAGCTAGATGAGGATGGGAATAGCTAAAGTTCCCTGCCTCACTGTCCCCACCTACCCTCAGAGAGCCTGGTCCCTGAAGGGTTAACCCTCAGACCACAGTGGCACCCAAGGGAAGGGATGAGCCTTCTCATCCTAACCCTCAGATAAAGGAATAATGACCTCTGACCCTGCAGGGACAGGCAGTCTAGGTTCCCACCCTTCCTATCTCTCTCTGACATCATCATTTAGTTCATAGCAAAGAGAAGTGCAAGGCATGGTCTGTGGGCCAGAGAGCAAAGTGTTAGGGATACCGAGCAAGACAGCACTGGGGTCCAGCCACAGGATGATCCTGTGTGTATTTTCTAGGAACTGTCCTGATTTATGACCATTTTCCCTGCATAAATATTAATGACACTTCTGTTGATGCTTAACTTTGTCCTAATTTAGACAGAGTAAATTATATGGTGACCCTACCTAATAGCTTGGGTAAACCTATATTTAACCTTTCTGGGTTCCTATTTAGAAAAGTATGGATCTAAGAACAGGTGATACATTAGGCTTCTTCTCATTTTGAGTTCTGTGACTCAGGGTGACCTTGAAAATTGAGCGAAAGTGTGTTTTGGTGTGGTGTGGGGTGTGGTGCGGTGTGGTGTGTGTGTCAAGAGAGGTGGGGTAACTGAAGCCCACATAAGTTAGAATCTGAAGATTTTGTTCTCTGTGGTATTTCCCTCTGCTAATTTCCTTTTGGGAAGAACTCACCTATTAGTTGTTTAAGGATTTTCCTTAGGGCAAAATACTGTCGGGGAAAATTGCTGAAGTTCTTTTCCAGCTCTATAGATACTGATGTCACCTCCATGGTCTTCACCTTCTCACATCTAGGAGGGATGGGAGATCAAGGGTAAGGTTAGGCCAAGCTGAAGCCAATTACCTGTCCAGATGCTGTCATCTTTAGGAAGAAATTAAAACTCTATGTCCTCCCATTTTCTCCCTCCTCCCTGAAGACAAGTGCTTCCTTCCACCAAATTACAGAAAGCCACCACTTCCCAGGATAGGTACTTGACAAGACCAGCAGTGGGTATGGAGAGGGGTGTAGCATATTTCAGATCAATGGGAAAGTGCCTGTCCTACCAATCCAATCCCTTCCTCCTGCCATCTTGTTGGGACACACTTTTACCAACAGGCACAAGGAACTGGTTCTATAGTATCACCTGTTTTACTGAGAAGTCCTGATGTTCAAAGGGGAAAATGTAAGGGGGATTATTGGTTCTGATGATTTTGTTCTCATGCTGGTTTCTTGATGCAAGTGACCTCCCACATCCTACCAGACTGCATGGCTTTCCCTTCCTGACTCCCCCGACTCCGTGCAGGACCCTCAGTCTATAAGCCAAGCCCTAACTCACTCAAAGAGACATAAGGATCACTTACTTTTCCAGGGTACTTTTGACATCCTAGAGGGAAGGAGAAAAGAAAGCAATATTGGTTCTGGTGCTCAGGGGTGCTGAAGGCTACAGGTTTTCCCTTCTCCCAAGAGCTCCAGATCCAGCAAGGAGACACAGAACAAGCTGAGGGTTACAATGCAAGGGGAGCTCCAGAGGTAGTGGACGGTGCCCCCCAACCCGATCCCCCTTTTCAACTTTCGGTCATCATGAAGCTTGATATTTGGAATCACTTCCAAAAGGTTTCTTAAGTGTTTATCTTTGCTCCTCAGGAACACAAGGAGCTCCCTGTAAGGGACAGGGACTGTGTCTGCTGTTTACTCTGTCTCCCAAGTGCCGGCCACAGATCTGTCTAAGGTTCTTGGGTCACATGATTCAGACTGGCAGGTTAAAACAAACCACTGCTTCCTGATGTGGTCTGACACCTCCTTGCCAGTACTGGCTAACGAACATTAGTAACTGTGTGCCAATCCTCATTTGAGAATACCTGGGGTCCAGGAGACAAAGACGACAAATCTCTGCCCCTTAAAGATTTTCCAGTTTAATGTGGAAAGCAGGAGACACATACATGAAAGGACATAGGAATAAATACTGAGCAACATAACACGCAAATAAATGAAGTTTTCAGGATTCAATTGCTGGTAATCTGATCCTTAAGATGTATGTTCCCTATAGCCTTCCTAGTGTCATTCATCTGTTTAAGAGAACAAGACCACCCTCAAATATTTCAGAGGCATCATTCATATATCAAAGCAATGTATTATTCACACATAACTTCACGTGTTATTTAAGCTGTTTCTATTCTTTTTTAGCTCTAGGAAATTCAAAATGCAAGTCTTAAAAAAAATGACTTCCCACCCTCTGGGCACAAATGAAGTACATAATTATTGACAGGACATAATATGGTTGGAAAGGGATGGAAGAAATCAGAAGACTTCCTGTAGGCAAGGATCCTTCTGGGTGTATCTGGAAGGAAGGCCTGGAGCCTAGGGGAGCTGAGCACCACAGCGACCACCCCAGGCTCACACACTGGCTGTGCGAAGCTAGACCGTGCAGGATCTGAGGGGCTACGCAGGGGCAACTGTCGAACCTTAAGCATCTCGAAGCCCGACTGTAAGCACTTGCCCTCCACCTCTGCAGCTAGGTGGGCGAGGTCCCGGCGCCTGTCCCCGAGGTGAGCTGCGTTTTCTCGCAGTCGCTGTAGGATGTCCTGTTCCTCCTCCTCCAGCCGTGAGAACAACATCTGCTGCTCCTCATCCAGCCGCCTGTGAAGCTCTTCAAACTCCCGCAGGATCTGCTGCCGGCGACTCTCCACTAGTCTCTAAGGAGACAGGGAAGACGGCACATCAGCATAGCCGGCGGGGCAGAGGAAGGCTCCTGGTCCACCACGTGTGCATGTCAACAGACTTCAATGTCACTGACATTTGCTCACAGGATAACACTCATCCTCTTTAGGAGAACTTCCTGCTGTAAAAAATGGCAGTATCTCTGTCACTACCACAGAAAAGCTTGATAGTAAAGATGGGGGAGTATAAGAAAAAAAAAAATCAACATGTAAAACTATTTTTATTTTCTTCATTAACTTCTAAAGCAGTTATGCTTTTATGTCTTAATAAAATATACTCATGTAATAAGTACTCGGTGTGATGTCACCTACCATTATGGCATCATTACAGACATTTCTGTTATTCCTGATATCTGGGTTCTAGTCAATGCAATCTGTTGAGAAAAGGGAAGTACAGACACTAGAAAGCTAACCTGTCACCATTTGTATATTACAAGGCACATAAGGGTTAAAAATCAGAGAATCAATCATAAGAATAGAATCAGTAAGTTTAATGACTTGTTATGAAACGTATGTGGATTTTGGGGCTAAACAGATTAAATAGTTTCAAGTCACTTCAGAGAATGTGTCCTGGAACAAGCTGCGAAAGTTTGCTAGTGAATTAGTCGCCTGAAGTCTGAATCAGACTTCTGGCACATATACCTATGGCATTCCTGAAATTTGATACTGTACTCTAACATTGGCCACTGCACTTTGTAAGGATTATTAGCCCTCTCTCTCTCTTCTGTGTGGGCACCCATGGAACAAACTCCAAGACTCATGTGACTGATGAGGATACACCAACCAGAGAGTGAAGCAAAGTGAGAAACAATATTGGGCCGGTGGAAAGAGGAAGAGACCAGAGCCTGGAAGGCCATGCTGGGGGTGAAAGGAGAACAGAGATGAAAGCCAGGGTGGGCTGGACAAGCCTGGAATTCAGGGCCTTCAGCCTAGCTCCCTACAGGGGTTGACAAATGCTGTGAGGTTCCAGGGCTATTTGCTGCTTTCCTTTCCACTGCTACCTTCTCAGGTGCAACACTTACAATAGAATTTATATTGACTTTTGTTTTGAAGAAAAATATTGCCTTAGGTCATACATGTGTGAGCATGTGAGAATTTACGGGTGACATGGGTAGAAGTATGGGATTTGGGCACAGTGTGGTAGCCCAGTGGCTAAAATCCTCGCCTTGCACACGTCGGAATCCCATATGGGTGTTGGTTCCTATCCAGCTCCCTGCTTGTGGCCTGGGAAAGTGGTCGAGAATGGCCAAACACCGATGTGCAAGACCCAGAAGCAGCTCCTGGCTTTGGATCATCTCAGCACCAGCCGTTGCGGCCACTTGGGGAGTGAATCAGCATGTGGAAGATCGTCCTCTCTGTATATCTGACTTTCCAATAAGAATAAGTCAATCTTAAAAAGAGGGAGAGTCAGAGCACCCATCTGCTGGTTCACTCTCAAAACGTAACAGCCAGGCCAAGCCAGAAGTCAGGGTCTCCCACCAGAGTATTAGGAAGCCATGTATTATCACCTGCTCCTTCCCAGAAACATCGGCAGAAAGCTAACCAGCCACTCTGCTATGGGATGTTCCAGCAAGCAACCAAACCCGTAGCATCACAAGGCCTGCATGGTGTGTGCGTGTGGGGGGAAGGCACTTCCGGCAAGGATGCTAGCACCCCTCCGGTGTATGAGGCAACCATGCACTTGTCCTGCACCATTGGCCATTGTTCTGCAATGGAAACCTTTTCTGTGTTGAAAAAAAAGGGGCCTGGTTTGAACGTCATTTTTATATGTAAACACAGGCTAATTCTTTCATGGTTTTAGTGTACTGGAGTTTTTTTTTTTTAAGAATTATTTTTATTGCAAAGTCAGATATACAGAGAGGAGGAGAGAGAGGAAGATCTTCCGTCCTATGATTCACTCCCCAAGTGGCCCTAACAGCCAGAGCTGAGACAGTCCGAAGCCAGGAGCGCAGAGCCTCCTCCAGGTCTCCCATGCAGGTGCAGAGTCCCAAGGCTTTGGTCTGTCCTTGGCTGCTTTCCAGACCACAAACAGGGAGCTGGATGGGAAGTGGAGTTGCTGGAATCAGAACTAGTGCCCATATGGGATCCCAGCATGTTCAAGGCGAGAACGTTAGCCACTAGGCTACTGTGCCAGGTCCAGTGTATTGAAGTTTTATTTGGAAATGGCCCCTAAATAAAACTCAGTAAAATAAGAATGTTATTGCTTTTGTAAGAACTTTACAAAACATTACTATTTTGAAACGTCAAGACACCCACAGCTTGGCTACTTGAGGATCTGGTCACACTGTGACCAGATGGGATAGTAGGCAGTTTTTAGTCCCTGGTGAAATTATTTCTCAAAATGTACTTTCTGAGAGCACTTTCTCCCCTTGAGGGAGAACAAAGGGGCAGAATTAACATATCAATTAGCCATCTCAGAGTTGTAAAAAAGCAAGAAGTGACCTAACTAATCTCATCTCTAGGTCACTGTCAAAGAGATAGTGGCTCAGTGGGAAGAGGAAATTAACCAGTCCCACCCTTTGGGGTTTGATTTGAAACCAGATGCCACTGTGAAGGATTTTGTCCTTTGAGTAACTCCCCTGAGATGGTGCATAAAAGACACCATTAACTTCTTTCCTTCCTCCTTTTTCCTAAATAAATCATACTTTGCAAACTAGAGTTTGCATGAAAATTCTTCTTTTGTGTGAGATAAGAAATGAGGTTGCTGCCACATTTTCGCATTACGCATCCTGCAACAACACTACCTCACCTGTCCAGATATGTTTATTACATTGATGATGTCAAAAACAGGTTCAAGTATATACCTATACTATAGGATTTCCTGGGGTGGTCACATCCCAAATATTTATAATCTAGATTTTATTGTCAGTTATTTTTACACTGTGGAACACTATACTAGAACTTGGCAGTCTCTTCAAAATTATGCAGAAAGGTTATTTATGTATAATTTTAATTGCAGCAGTTAATAACAATCTTATGTTTTTTTTTTTAAATAAATTTAAGGTATTGGGTGCCCAGTGTGGTGGATTAGTGGCTAAAGTCCGATTTGCAGTCACTTCGGGAGTGAATCATCGGACGGAAGATTTTCCTCTCTCTCTCCTCCTCCTCTCTGTATATCTGACTTTGCAATAAAAATAAATAAATCTTAAAAAAAATTTTGACCTGATGTGGTATCCTAGTGACTAAAGTGTCTTGCATGCGCTGGGATTCAATATGGGTGTTGGTTTGTATCCTGGTGGTCTCATGTCCCATCTTGCTTCTTGCTTGTGGCCTGGGAAAGCAGGACAGCCCCAACCCTCGGGACCCTGCACCCATATGGGAGACCCGGAAGAGGCTCTGGGCTGCTGGTTTTGGATTAGCTCAGCTCCAGCCACTGTGGCTGCTTGAGGAGTAAATCAGCAGATGGACGATCTTCCTCTCTGACTTTGCAATAAAAATAAACTTAAAAAAATTTAGTATGTTCATTTATTTTTAAGATGTACTTACTTTTATGTGAAAGGCAGATTTACAGAGAGGGAGAAATCTTCCATCCATTAGTTCACTTCCCAAATGGCTGAAATGGCCAGAGCTGAGCTGCTTCTGCTTCTACCATGTGGGTGCAGGGGCTCCAAAGACAGTGACAAACTTTAGAAAAGAAGTACTGAGGATAACTGCAGGTGGGAGGAGGGAGGAGGCAGAAGAATTTAAATGGTACCAAAGGAATGTGGGTGGTGGTATCAAAGACCACTGAGATGATAATTTGTCATTTGGAAAATGCTAAGGGGCTGTGCAGGGTTGCACTCAGAAAATTTACTTGAGCAACCAGTGTCTTACAGGGGAGCGTCAGCAATAAAATCACCTTCCTCTGCTTCTGGTCCTGAGCTCTGCTAGTGTGCAATCCTAGCACAGAGCAGATGATGGCCTAACGACTTGGGCAGGAGACCCAGATGGAGTTCCTGCCACCAGTCCATCCCCCAGCTCTGGTGAGCATTCGGGGAGTGAGCCAGGGGATGGAAAAGCTCTCTTCCTTCCTCTGTCACTCTTCTAAATAAATTTTAAAAGCTTAAATAGGTTTAAAATAAAAAACACTATAGCTCTTGTTGAAGTATTTATGAGGTATTAAAAGACTTATTTCTGTATCCATCTTTTACCTTTAAGGTGATCAGCAGGAAGAGGACATTTAATGACTGGGAATAAGCTTCTGTTTTATATGTTTTAATTTTCTCAGGAGTCCTCCAAAAGAACAAAGAACTATTTTTAAAGCTCACTTTTATAACCAAATGTCATTTGCTGTAAAACAAAGCAAAGCAAAACAAAACAAAAAAAGCACCCTCATGTTCAGCGATCCCTAAATGTCAAGTCTGAATACTCATCATTTCTTCTGGAACCATTTGATTAGGTCACATTTCTGTCCTATGAACTTAGAGCTGTGCTTTCTGTACAATGTCATTTTCTACTTTCTCCATTGACTTTAAGCTCAAGGAGGGCAAGGACCGCATTTTGTTTATCATGGTTCTGGTGCCAAAGATAGGGTTTGGCCTTTTTCAGGAGCTGAATAAATATTTACCAATTCAACAAGAACCAGTATCCCTGGTTTTGCCACTTATTGGCTGGATGATCTTGGACCAGACAATTATCTAAGTTCCATTTCCTCCTGTGTACTACGGTAATAATACTGACATTATAGGCTATCTAAGTTTGCCCTTTGTCTTGTAGTTTGCTCTTTGTCCCACTTGTCCCAGAGTATGGCCTGTTTAATCTGGGCAACATCCTAAGACCAAGAACCACCCTGTAAGTTTGAAATGTCAAGGACATACAACAAATCAATGCATTGGACTCAATAATAGTTATGCTTTTCCTGTTAACATGGTTACTGAGTGAGCAATGCAACTAAAGAGATGCACAATTATGTAAAAGAAAAAAAAGTTACTTTGAAGGACTAGGAAAGGCTGCAGGGAAAGTGACTATCCTTTCGCCTAGAGATGGTTAGGATCCTATCATGGGGAGACATTCCAAGAAATGAATCAACATCAGGTAACATATTGGACCTCTAGTTACAAGAATGGGGGCCTGATGTTACTGGCGAGTTCTCTTCTGGTTGCTCTTGGGTACTCCCTCCCGCCCGCCGCTTCTCGAACTTTCTAAGATTTCCTCTGCTCAGTCCCTTTACTCCTGTGCCTGCGTTTTTAGCAGGCAGCCTCTTTCCTTGCTTTAAAAAAGAAACAAAATAGAATCAGTGGGCATGAACTATGGACTCCTCAGTTCACCAGGGGCAAGATGCTATCTGCCCTTTATCTCACTCCCTAATATTTAATTCCTGATGAGCAATTTAAGTACAATGTTTAATAAAATTACAGTCAAGCCTTGTAAAATGCTACCAGTTTAAGAGAGCAAGCAGTCTTCTGCCAATGGACCAGACCTTGTGGATTACACACTGTGTGCTCAGTTTCCTTGTAGGCAGATGGCCTGCAGAGCAGCCCACAGGCCTTTACCTTGAGCTGGGCTGGCTTCTTCTCCTCCAAGGATTTGCAGCGGGTAATTTCCTGCAGCTTCTGCTCCAATGGCTCCAGGCACTTCTGCAGCTTTTCCTGAGGGGCAGGGAGGATGAGAGAGAGGGGTAATATTTGCTGTCAGGTACTGTTCAGAGGCTGACTCATTTGTGTTAAACCATGTTTGCCTCCTATCCATGGTCCATCTTGTGATCCAACTCCTTTCTCCTCACTTGTCACTTGGGTGTCACCTTCCTACTGGTCATTCCTCCGGCCACCAACTTTTCTCCATCATCATTCCAGGTCACATTATGTAATTTTCTCCTCGCTGAACTAAGACAGGTTCCACCTGTCACCTTCTGCTTGCTGATATCCTCCTTTAAACCTATCCTCCGCACCCAACTATACCTACAGAGCTAGCAGAAGCTTAATTACTTATACTGTAAATTACATTAAATCTTGTTTCTAATATTTCATTAACATAAGGAAAGTCCTCCAAGCACCAGCATTCCATATGCGTAGCAGTTCATATCCCAGCTGCTCCACTTCTAATTCAGCGCCTTGTTTGCGGCACTAGGTCTTGGGCCCCTGCACCCATACCGGAAACCTAAAAAATGTTCCAGACTCCTGACTTCACAGATCAATCCAGCTGCAGCCATTGTGGCCATTTAGGAAGTGAACCAGTAGATGGAAGACCTCTCTGTCTCTTTTTCTCTTAAAAAGAGAGAGAGAGAGAAAGACAAGTGCTAAGACATTAAAAAAATAAACAACCCGCCCCTCTCTGGTTCCATAGCCAGCACTGTAGATAATCCTCTGCCTGTGGTGCCAGCAGCTCATACAGGTGCTGGTTCCTAGCTCCAGGTGCTCATCCTGATTCAGCTCTCTGCTTATGGCCTAGAAAATCAGCAGAGGATGGTCCAAGGCCTTAGGCTCCTGGCTCCAGTTGTTGTGCCGGTTTTTGAAACCCCCAGATAATCATCAAGTCTGAAGTCGGAGCTGAGGCAAAAAGGTGGTTTATTCAGGTTAGCCTAGGTAACCCAGCGACCTCCCCCAGCCCAGCATGGCTGGGCGGGGGAGGGGCAGCCACAGCAGAGGCTGCAAGGATCCACAAGGAGGACCAAAGAAACGCGAGCCAGAAGCCAAGGGAAAAAGGCCCAGAGCCCAAGCCCCCCAGTTCTTATACATTTCAGGCTATTAATTATACAGTCATGATTTAGTAGGCTTCTATTGGTGGGTTTGAAACAAGCAATTTTCAAAAAGTACAAATCGATGAGCTATTGGGCTGTGAATCTTATCAAACACCAGGTACCTCCTTCCTGAGGAGTGGTCTGCCTACGTGACCTGCCAGGTGTCCTGCCGGGTGTCACGTAGACTATCAGGTCTGAGGTTCACACAGCCCCCAGCCAAGCCATTAAGGCGGAATCACAAAAGGCAGAAAACGCCTAGGTTCTTCACAGTCACTGCAGCCACGTGTGGAGTGAACCAGTGGGTAGAAGATCTCTCTCGGCAACCCTGATTTTTTATTGTGAGAGACAGAAAGATCTTCCATCCACATGTTAAGTCTTTCACGTAAAATAAATAAATCTTAAAAAAAAATTAGTTTCTATTACTCAAACACATATCCTATGTTCCAGCAACAAATTAAACCAGCAGTCACTATCTGAGAAAGAGCTGATGTCACCTAGCCCCAGCCCCAGCCCCAACGGGAAAACCATCAGCATTCTAAACAAGGTGGCAGGACAAAGAAAGCAGACTACTTCTTAGTTTTTCTTAGGCTTACTCTTTTTCCTGAAATTTCATTCATTCATGAAAAACATGATATTCCAAGACCACACGTACCAATATTAATCCACAAGACTCAAATGTGTGGCAAAAATTTGAAAAAAAAAAAAAAAAAGTTTGGGTATCTCTCACCACTGCTTTTCATGTAGAGGACAACTGACCAGACACTGAGACAAAATCCCAAGCTCTCTTCTCTGCTATAAACACAGCTCGCTCTAAGTCCAGCCCATCCCACTTGAGTCTCAGGCCTATAGTTCCAGAACACTGTGTCCTATGTGGGTAGCTCTGAGGCAACCAACAGAAGGACCAGACACAACCTTGCCCTGTGCAGTGTTCAGTTCTCTCTACAGGGAGAGTATCTCACTCTCCTTTGCTTCCCTCCCTTTCCCCCACATATGGGGGGTCAGGTTGAACTGCCCACCTTATACTCCTGGCTGGCATCATTCAGCGGCACAACGGTGTGGGCCCAGTGCTTGTGGGAGATTGCACATATCAAACATACAGCCTCCTGGTCCTCGTAGCAGAAAAGGCTGAGGGCCTCGTGGTGCTGGGGGCAGAGGCTTTCGTCCCGGATCTTCCGCTTGACCGCCTGGAGCTGCTTGGCAATTTCCACCATGCTTCCGAGCTGCCGGTTGGGCCGGAGGCTGCGGTAGCGAGAGGTTTTCCGACACACAGGACAAGGGAAGTCCCTCTCCAGGTCCTCCCACCAGCGGGTGATGCAAGCCTTGCAGAAGTTGTGTCCACACTCAATGATGACTGGCTCCTTCAGATACTCTAGACACACGGAGCAGCTTGCCTCCACCTGTAAGTTCTCCAGAGCTGCAGCTGTGGAGGCTGCAGAAGTCCCGGCCTCTAACAGACTTGTCTCTGCCATCATTTAACTGGGGGAAGGAAAGTGGACATTCAAAGAAAAGGTTAGCTGAAGGTTTCACTTTTTTTTTTTTTTTAATTCCCGGCCTGGCATTTACTCTCACGCTACACACAGTAACTCCAGTCTTTCATCATCTTCTAAATTCAACCTTCTGTTTCCTCATTTCTAAAACTCCCAGGTGTCAATGTGTTCTTTTCAGAGTCAGATCTTCAGTCACAGCCCAGCCTGCTTCTCCTGATCTAGGTCCATTCTACTTGAACTTTAGTTTTCAGACCAAAGTATCCTACTTGCACACATTTTTTTTTTCCTAACAGACGAGAGAGGAGTGAAAAGTGGCATAAAATTCAAAGTCTTAATTAAGATTTCTGAAATGATGTGTAGAGGTTCATGTCACAGAGAAGTTTTTCATTACAGTATGCTGGAGCCCAAGCCCGATTCTCTGCAACAGTCTCGCTTGGTGATCAATTCAGTCAGTCAGGCGAAGGCAGTGACCGCTCTTCAAGACAATGTGACAAGCCTACAGGACACGGACTCTCTGCTTGACATGTCTTACTCATCCCACTGCTAGCTGTATGGATTTGGAATCTGCGCCTCCTCCGAGACATATGTTACTGAGCCTAGGCCGGTAGTTTCTTGAAAGCTGACAAGTCTGAATTCACCAAAGACTGAAGTCCTTCAAAATAGCTAATGACTGCTAATTCCTTGGACAAACGCTATCTCCAATGATTAGGTTTCTGAAGTGGTTGAGAATTAAGAGGAAACAAATGAGGCAATCAAGCGACACCTGAGAAGACCTGGAAATGCATAGGAGATTTATAAAACAAAAGCTGGCCTTCCACCCCATCCTTACAACATCAACACTTTTCACTTCATAATCCCCTCTACATTTCCCCAGCCCTAGCCCCCGGGAATTTAACAAGACACATCCGGTAGGCCTAGGTGTTAGGAAAGGACAGCCAGGTTAGCAAGGATCTTTCTGGTGTCAGTTTTTGACACAAAGTATCTGATTTGCAGCAAGGGCTGGTAACTTATTTGCATCTGAATTTCTACCCTCCACAGGGGAGAAAAGTGAAATCAGATGGGACTTTCTCTTGCCTGTGGGAATGCAATGATTGACTAGCACCCCTGCTCCCTTCCCCAGTCTTGCAGAAAGGAAGCCTCCTCCTCACCTGTGATGAGTGGCATTGTATGCACAGTGAGGGACCAGTATGATTCCACACGGGCCAAGAAGTGATGGGGAAGAAAGAAGGGCAAAGCGGGTGGGGAGAGATGGAGCGACCTGGAGCTATAGCGGCAGGAAGGCCTGGGTTGCCTCAGAGTATCCTTCCTCACCCTCCATTCCACGTGTCTCCGTACAAGGACAAACTTCAGGGACGGCCTCCAGTCACGGCTATCATTTGGCGACCCTCTCCCGAGCGACGTCCCAAACTCGGTGCCCCCCGCGTCTCCATCTTCTCCCGCCAGATCTGGGGCAGGGTTGTTGGAGAGGAGGATGAGGAAACGTGATGGTGGGCGCGGGGTTGGGAGGCACGCGTGTCCAGGTGAGTCAGAGCCGTTACGTGCAGGTGGGATGCCTGCCGCTCTGACGCAGCCGAGACCCGTCGAGATGCGGCCAGGAGTTTCCACCCGGGAAAGCGAGAAGCAGCAAGGATTAGGGGGAACCGCGGGGTAGCCAAGCAACGCCGGACGCGCTGACGTCGCCGGGGCGGCAAAACGTCCGCCCGGGCCCGAGGCGGGCGGAGGCAGCGGTGGTTACGTGCGGGGGGCCGGTGACGCAGTCGCGGGGCGCGGGGACGCGGCGTGCAGAGCTGACCGGCGGGGACAGGCCCCCGGCCCCGGCCCTGGCGCAGCGGCGGAGGGGCGGCACCTACCTTCCCGGCTGCGGGGTCCGGGAGAGCGCGGCTAGGAGCCGCCGGAGCGCTTCCTCCCTCCTTCCTCCTCCCCCAGCCCCCGCCCCGCGGCGCGCGACACACAATACTCGCCGGAAGCGGAAGCCGTTCCGCGCCCAGACCCGTGTCAGTGGAAGCCGGCGCGTCTGCCGGAGGCTGCGGGAGGGTCTGGACGACGGCGGGGGGCCGGCGGTGAGCGCCGGCGGGAGGAGCCCCGGCCGCCGAGGGACCCGCGGTGACAGGTGCCGGAGGCTCCGGCGTCCCGGTGACCCGAGGAATCCTTTGGAACGGGAAGGCTGCGCATGCGCGCGCCCGAGCGCGGAGAGCCCATGGCCGGCCGGGGCGCCCCGTGAGTCCGTGCTGTCGGGGCTGCGGGCCCGGACCCCTGGCGCTGGCCCGGCTCTGCAGGTCCTCCGTGGGGTTGGAGGGATGGAGTGGAGGTTTGCGAGACGCCGCAGCGGGTGGTCGGCGTTCAGCCACACTTGTCCTCTCTCAGAGGGGCAGCGCGGCGAGCCGGTGGCCAAGCTGAGGCTGCGGCCAATTGCGTGGCGGACCTGCAGGTCCCGTCTGCACGTCACTTCCGACTGGTTGAGCTTTAGGCTTTGCGAGGATTAGGTGAGTTCTCCCCGCAGCAGGTTTGTAACGCTCCTTATCCTGCCCCCTGTTTGGGCGGACCTCTTCCGAGCGTTTCCACCCTTGTCGCTAGGGCGGAGGCCGCCGCGAGGCAGCTTGCTTTTGGGTCTGGTCAACGCTAGTCTAACGGGTGAGAACCAGGGATTGCCCTTTGGGAGCTGCGATCTCTGAGTTCTACCATAGTGCTTGCATGGGAGACTTGCCTTATAGCTCCTGCTCTGCAGCGGAAAGCCTTGCAGAATTGCGAGTGTGGAGGAAGAGGTGAGACAAGTCTACTGCTAGAGGAGGAGTCAGTGCTGTCAGGGGTGTGTCCTAACGGGTAGAAAAGGTAGCCCGCTTCCTGGGATGCCGGATGGGCTAATTGAAAGAGCAAATGTTGGTGTCCTTGCAGAGGAAGTAGTCTGGCACCGGGCCGCGTTAGCTGCTCATCCTGGGTTCCAGAGGGCGTTGACCTGCAAGAAACATGATCAAGTGCCTGCGGGTTACGCTGAAGCTTGCAACTCCAGCACTCCACTTCGGAACCGAGGTTCCCCGTTACTGTGCCTAGAAATACAAAGGAAGATGTTCCGTCCTTGGCCCGTAGGGGAGAGACTGGGAAGGGGTTCTCCTGTCCTGACTTTCCACTGGCTCTGACCCAGCCGGCCTTTGGAGTCATTTGGGGTTTGAACCAGCAGGTGGAAAATCTTTTGTCTCTCCATCCCTCTGCTTCAAAATGTTGCAGGAGCCACAGCGGGAGGAGTCTGCGGCTTTAGTTGCGGCAGTCTGTCTCATCTCCAAGAAATGTGGCAGCATATCTGAATTTTTTTTTTTTACAGCTCTTTGTGTTGTCACTGTTGCGCAGTTCCCTGTTAAAGCTGGCCTTCTCTCTCCAATTAGGTCACATTTTTTTTCTGCATGGGTTATCGAGTTACAGTCTTGTGTTGCAGCTTCTCTGCAGGAGCGGGGTAGGGTGCTGCCATCTTTGTCTCCTGACTTTGGACAACGATGAGGCACTTGGAAAGAAGAGGAAGTGAAGGTTTATTGGAAGAAGCAGAGAAACTTCTGTGGCAGCAGGGAGGGGCTGCCTGCCTGGAGCTGCCTTATTTCTTTCTGACTTTTGATTCTGTATTCTAATCCTTTCATCATTTCTTGACACTGGCATTTTGGGTTTTCTTTATTGACTTTTTCATTGTCTTCTCACAGGAAAAGCCTCTATTGTGATTCTGAGTGGGACAGCAATAAGTATAGAATTTAGTTTGGGTGGGGTTAGCATTTTTCCTGTTTTCTTCCTATCCAAGAATGGTTTGCCTTAATGATTTAATTCGTGTTTAATTCAGTAAGATCTTAAGATTTTATTCGTGCAAACTTTATAATTTTTTTTTTAAAAAAAGGGTTTATTTCTTTTCGTTGGGAAAATAGTGAACATTACAGAGAGAAAGATTTTTCTGTCGGTTGGTTTGCTCTCCCAATGATCACAACAGCCAGAACTGAGCTTATCGGAAGGCAGAAGCCAGGAGTATCTTCCAGGTGTCCCAAGAGGGTGCCGGGGCAGGCCCAAACACTTGAGCCTTTCTCCGCTGCTTTCCCAAGTCATAAGCAGGGAGCTGGATCAGAAGTGGAGCAGCTGAGACAAGAGCCGGCACCATATGGGATGCTGGCGCTACAGTTAGAGGCTTAGCCCACTGTGCCATGTTGCTAGTTCGCCTCTTTTTTTCTTTTTTAATCCTTTTGTTGTTGTTTTTTGAGCAAGGCAAGTGGAATGAATTCTCTGCGTTTAGGATCCCTGTTCCTCTCCCATGGTGATGATCAATGAAATAATGAAAATGAGAAGAGGAGCATTGTGTGTGTGTGTGTATATATATATATATTTTGTCCAGGAAGAGTACGTAACTACAGATGAAATTTTACTTCATGCTTTCTTGGCTAAACAACTTGGGGGCAAATGGTGGGGCTCACAGCTTTGGGAAGGCAGCCCAGATCCCTGCCAGGACTGTGGCTGTGCTACCCAGCACACACTGCTCTGCTGCCTTGGGTCTTCTGGGGCCTCTGCTGTTGTGTTGTGCTCATCTGAGTGTGAGATTTTAGCACTCTGATTTTTTGAGCTGTTCTCCTGCCTTATGTTTCAGTCTTTAATGAATGCATTTAAGAGTAAAAGCTACTAAAGTTTCAGTAGATACTTGTATCACTTGTGATCCTAAATGTAGACAGATGGATCCTGATCGTGGATTTTGTTGGCTGTTGATTGAAAGTTGAATTTTAACTTATTGGAGGAGGTTATTCCTGTTGTCACTAGTAAGGAGAAGAAAATTCTCTGTGTTAGTCACTTATTTGTTGGGACTTTTAGGGGGCACAATAGGTAATATATTTTTCCATGCCAGTTGCAACACTTGAAAGAGATACAAGAATGAACCAGAGATGGAGGTTCTTTTCTCTGTGTCTCTTCTCTCTGTAAATATGATCTGACTTTCCAATAAAAATAAATAAACCTTAAAGGGTAAAGTATCACCTGTTCATTTTGTGAGGCTGTAATTGGAGGGAATAGCTCTGAAATAGCCAGTGGATTTGTTTATTTCCTCTTAAATTGAACTTGCACCAAACCTCCACTCCAGCCCCCATCTGAACTTGCCTTCTAAGCTAGGCTTGGCTGGGGAGAGAGGAGAAATCATGCAGGCTTGAAGGGAAAAAGGACAAGGAGCCAAGCCAAGCTTGCTCAGCTCTTGCTTCCAAGCTTTCTGGTTAGGTCAAGCCTGGAAAGATGGGGGCTGGGGAAGGAGTTGGAGGATAGTCCTAGTTAGGAAGTGAAAAGTAATGGATTGTTTCCCTCTAAAACTGATAGGTGACCAGTGTTGAGACTAGGTTATACTGCGAAGAATGCTGCTGGCAGGTCTTGGAAGCAGTCTTTCTGGCTTTCTCTAGCCCATCTTTGACTTGCTCCCTCTTCCTGCCTGTGACAACAACAACATTTGTCTAGAGTTTTAAGTCTCTAGCCAGGTGTCCTCTGTTACACAAAGGAAAGCAAAAGATGAGGGAAATGCGGAGTGTCCTCTCTGATCTGATTCTTCGGGTACTGCCTCTCCATCTACTTAGGTTCAACTGTTACTTCCTACTGTTACTGATTATGTAACTTCAGCACTTTTCACCTGTAAGTTGCAGAGTCACCTGTAATTTTCTGTAAAGGAGTGGTCTAGTGAATTCCAGATTTGTATTGTGAAAGTTATTTATAAAACAGTTTGATATGACTTCCTGTATTTTAGGTTAACTGTAATATACACGATGCATCATGATGGAATTACATCTGGATTGTGTCTATTCTGGAAAGTAAGGCTTGGCTACAAAAGCAGCACCAGGTGAATCTAGGAGGAAAACTTCAACAAACAAGTAGTTTAGCACGCTGAGGGATGCCATGCACTCCTACCAGCAATGTATGGGCAGTTGTGGTTCCTTTATCTGTGCCATAGGTGCTATTGTCAGGTTTTCTTGTTTTGTCATTTTATTGGTGAGTGAATACATTAGTGTTGTGGAGTGGAGAGAGATCACACTGGACCCACGTGTAGGATGTTAGGAGGAGTCTTTATTGCTAAAGCTGGGTAACAGCAGCTCCCACTACATTCCAGGAACTACTGCCCCAGGTTGGGCGGCCCAAATCAGGGATTTTTAAGCTCTCATCCTTCAATCAGATTGAGAGCCATGCAGTAAAAATAAAGATTCCATGTGCAGCAGGCAGGAAGGGAGTTACCAGAGCCCAAAGTTTTCCTGTAGTTAATTAACCTAACCTAGTACAATAGGAGGCAGGAGCTGAATGTAAGGGTCTCACCAGTCTTGAATGGCACTAGAGGAGGTAAAAAAGGTGGGGTTCAGAAACTCCATTTCCTCCTTTCCTGCTGTCAGTTAATCTGTCAAGTGGATGCTAGCCATCAACCACTGCACCCCATTAAATTAGCAGGGAGCTGGATTGGGAACAGAGAAGCTGGAACTCAAACTTGCACCCATATGGGATGGCAGCATTGCAAAGGAAAGTCACCAAGCTGGTATCCTTTGTTTTCTTGTAGAAACATTTCAGAATATTAGGCTTTCTAGATTGTTAAAAATGTGAGGGAAAGGAAACTATTGACAGTCTTTTTTTTTAAATGTATCTATACTTGTACCAATATTATGATTTCAAACTATCTTTTTTCCATTGTTTTTGCCTATTCTAGTTCTTTCACCATTCCTTATAAATTTTAGAATCAAATTATGGATGTCTACAAAAAGTATTCTGTAAATCTATGGGTGACTTCAGAGAGAACTGACAGAAAAAGCAAAATTAAGCCTAATTTTTGAATATATTTATTTAGTATTTAGTATTGCATCTGATTCCTGAAAGAGATTGCATACAATTGGTAGTCTTTCTTCCTTCGGTGTTAGAATTCACAGGGAAACCTTTGTGCCTTTTGTTCCTTAGGTGAAAAGTGTGCATGTGGGAATTGTCTGTAATGCTGCCATTTTCCCTCCTTTACGTATGTGTCATGAGGGAGCTGTTCTGTTTGTCTCCTGAGTAACTGTGGAGGTCTCTGGACAAAAGTGTGCAAGTGGCTAATAACTCCTGTGTCTGTGGCTGCCGGGCGTTCTCTCGTTTCATGCTGTCCTCCAGCAGTTCACAGATAACACCAGGCAAGTGCTTCGTGTCCGTCTACATCATGGCGCCATTGTTCTACAGTGCTCTGCCTCTGGTGACTTGGGTAGCTCTCTAAAGAGATTGAGGAGAGTTATGATTTTGTTGATATTTTGACTTTTTTTTTTTTTAAGGTTGATTTATGTTATTGGAAAGTCAAATATACAGAGAGGAGGAGAGAGAGAGATCTTCTGTCCATTGATTCACCTCTTCAAGCAGCCACAGCAGCTGGAGCTGAGCCGATCTGAAGCCAGGAGCCAGGAGCTTCTTTCAGGTCTCCCATGTGGGTGCAGGGTCCCAACACTTTGGGCCGTCCTCAACTATTTCCCAGGCCACAAGCAGGGTGCTGGATGGGAAGTGGAGCTGCCAGGATTAGAACTGGTACCCATATGGGATCCTGGCTGGTGTGTTCAAGGTGAGGACTTTAGCTGCTAGGCTACTGTGCTGGGCCCAGATCTTTTGACTTTTTCTTAACAGCACCTTAACAATGATCTTTGCAGCACTTTCTTTCTTTCTATTTTTTTTTTTTAAGATTTATTTTCTTTTTATTGGAAAGGCGGATAGACAGAGAAGAAGATCTTCCGTCTGATGATTCACTCCCCAAGTGAGCGCAACAGCCAATGCTATGCCGATCTGAAGCCAGGAGCCTCTTCGGGTCTCCCACGTGGGTGCAGGGTCCCAAAGCTTTGGGCTGTCCTCGACTGCTTTCCTGGGCCACAGGCAGGGAGCTGGATGGGAAGCGGGGCCGCCGGGATTAGAACTGGCGCCCATATGGGATCCCGGGGCGTGCAAGGCGAGGACTTTAACCACTTGCGCCACCGCGCGGGCCCTGCAGCACTTTCTATATCAAAAGTGGAAGCCTGAAGTCAAAACTGTTGTGTTCTACCTTGATAGTTGCATGTTTATCGATAAAGGGCTTGGTTACATAGAAACAGATAAATCCTGAGTTGGAGTGCTGAGACAGGGTGACTGTGGAATTAATTAACATTGCTGCCAGCCTTGTAGAGTGATGTTTGTGTTTCCTGAAACTTGTCATGAGTCAGATAGTGCCTCAGGCAGTTACTTCAAGGTTTCTTGGCAAGGTCGGTGCCTCATTTTAAATCCTCTAGTCTCTGGCTAGACAAATTTCCTTACTCCTGGGCTGATTATGTTGCTGAATTTGTGTCACAATCTGCCAAGGAAGGTGTTTTCACATGCCGCCTTCTGCTGGCTTTTCCTAAACCTTGAATAGAATAGGGATGTAGCCCTTGTATTAGCCATTGTAATGGCAAGCTTATCTTTGTTTCTGCCTAGTCTTTTATTTATTTTATTTATTTTTTTAAAGATTTATTTATTTATTTGGAAGTCAGATATACAGAGAGGAGGAGAGACAGAGAGGAAGATCTTCCATCTGATGATTCACTCCCCAAGTGAGCACAACAGCCAGTGCTATGCCGATCCGAAGCCAGGAGCCAGGAACTTCTTCCAGGTCTCCCACACAGGTGCAGGGTCCCAAAGCCTTGGGCCATCCTTGACTGCTTTCCCAGGCCACAAGCAGGGAGCTGGATGGGAAATGGAGCTGCCAGGATTAGAATCAGTGCCCATATGGGATCCCGGCGCGTTCAAGGCGAGGACTTTAGCTGCTAGGCCACGCTGCCGGGCCCTATTTATTTATTTTTTAAAGATTTACTCTTCGGGCCCGGCGCGGTGGCGCAAGTGGTTAAAGGTCCTCGCCTTGCACGCCCGGGATCCCATATGGGCGCCGGTTCTAATCCCGGCAGCCCCGCTTCCCTTCCAGCTCCCTGCCTGTGGCCCAGGAAAGCAGTCGAGGACAGCCCAAAGCTTTGGGAACCTGCACCCGCGTGGGAGACCCGGAGGAGGCTCCTGGCTTCGGATTGGCATAGTATCGGCCCGTTGCGCTCACTTGGGGAGTGAACCATCGGACGGAAGATCTTCCTCTCTGTCTCTCCTCTCTGTATATCCGCCTTTCCAATGAAAAAATAATAAAAATAAATCTTTAAAAAAAAAAAAAGATTTACTCTTCTATTAAAGTCAGGTAAGAGAGGACGAGACACAGAGAGGAAGATCTTCCATCTGCTGATTCACTCCCCAAGAGGCCTGCAACAGCCATAGCTGAGCTGATCCGAAGCAGGAGGCTGGAGCCTTTACTGGGTCTTCCATGTGAATGCAGTGTCCCAAGGCTTTCAGTTGTCCTTGACTCCTTTCCCAGGTGGCAAGCAGGGAGCTGGATGGGAAGTGGGGCCTCTGGAATTAAAACTGGCCCGTGCAAGGCAAGGACTTCAGCTGTTAGGCTACTGTGCTGGCCACCCCTCCCTCCCCCAGTCTTGAGAGCTTTCCTGCAACACATTCTCAAGCCAGTGTCTACCACTGTCTCATGGTGTGACATCTCAATTGCTAAAGAGTTGTCAGGTTTAGTTTCAGCGGTAGCATAGGTCCAAATATATCAGTACTTTCTACTGTTCTGAAAAGAACATGCAAGACCAGTGAGAGATCTGTGACAGGGGGCAGTGAAATGATTAGAGGAGGAGCTGTTGCTGATACCATTCGTTGGCAGTTTTCAAAATTAGTCCCTTGACCTTCCTTGTTTTCCATTCTTTGCTGAGGAGGTTGGAGGTGCTCCCAGGACTGTGGTCCTTTGTGCAGCAGAGCCTTGGCAAATCTTAGTTTGCTTTCCCTCTGGTTTGGTTCAGGAACTACTCTCAAGTTATGGAGACTCATCCAGGTTGATGTCCTTTTTTACTAGTTGCTAGCTTCTAAATTGATCAAACGTATTTACAATGGAAATATCACCTTGTGAATGCCGTTACATTTGCCTCTTGCAAAAATGTTAGATTCGCTGACCACTAGGGAAAGAATAACTCAGCCGAATATATGAAAAGAATTTAGATGGCCTTTATTTCAGGGAACCATGGTCATGGGCTTCCCTTCCCCATGCAGCAGAAAGCTAGATGTGAAGGAGTGAGCTGCAGAGGAAGAAGAGTGTGGAAGAGACGGGGAAGGGGCTTTTTAAACTCTCCTTGACACAGAAGCCGAAATGAGGTCGCCTCGGCCCTTATTGGTGTGGGGAGATATTGGTCTGTGCCATTCATTGATGCAACGTTGGTGTCACAGCCTGAGGGGCCCGCCAGAATTCTGCCATCCATTCTGGGTTTGGTTGGAGGCAAACTCTACCCTTCTCCGGTTACTGTGGTAGCCATCAGCTGCTGCTTATCATCCTTAACAGCTGCTTTTTGTCTGGCAAATCCAAATACAGTCTTTCATCATTCAGATTAAAGAACCACCACTTGAGTCCGGCACGGTGGCCTAGCGGCTAAAATCCACACCAGGATCCCATATGGGTGCCGGTTCTAATCCCAGAGGCCCCACTTCCCATCCAGCTCCCTGCTTGTGGCCTGGGAAAGCAGTTGAGGACAGCCCAAAGCCTTGGGACCCTGCACCTGTGTGGGAGACCTGGAAGAGCTCCTGGCTCCTAGCTTCGGATCGGCACAGCACTGGCTGTTGTGGTCATGTGTTCAATTGAGAAGTGAATTGTTGGACGGAAGATATTCCTCCCTGTCTCTCCTCTCTGTATATCTGACTTTGCAGTAAAAATAAATAAATCTTTAAGAAAAAAAAAAACACTCCCTTTGCTATGGTGATGGCCAACATTACTATTATTATATCCATTCTTGTTGAATCCAAGTTTAAATGTATTTATTATACTGTGTTCCAAATAGCCACAAATAATTAAGAGTTGGCTTGTAAGATGAAACCTGCATTGGTTTGGCTTCCAGAAGAGGCAATCTGAGACATATGAGAACAGGAGGAAGTTATTCTAGAAAGCATCGTAGTTGCCACTGTAGGTGCCTGCTTTTCAAGCCCACTAGATTACTCAGAATTATAGCAACTAACAGATGAAGAAGCTGGAGTGTTTTTGCACCACTGTTAGTTGAGGTCTGATTGTAGGGTACAAGCATTTCCTGTCTTCTCTTGGTTCAAGCCAAGGTCGCCCCATTTGCTAGTAAGAAAGTTACAGGAAGAGCAGTTAGTAATTCCTGCAGAGGTGTATGCCAGAGGCAGGCTAGCTCCAGGAGCAGATCCCTTATGCAGTTTACCTGGTTTTATTACTCTGTTACTACCTTTATGAAACTTTATGTAATTTTGAACAAGGAACTGCAGTTTTTGCTTTTCACTGGATTCCATAAATTCTGTAGGTAAACTGCTATATCAGGGGCTGGGGAATGTCTGGCCCACTAACCATTTAAGACTTGTAAAATCACTTGTCTGGCCCTGCCAAGGATATCACAAGTGGAACTTGCAATTCAGTAACTATATAGCAGGCTGATTTTTAAGTTGAAAATTTTGTATGGCCTTGAATATTATTAATATCCAGTGGTCCTTTGCAGAAAAAGGGTCCCCCTCCCATCTGCTTAGTAAGGGAGTATGAGTAGGGCACTAGGTGATAGATGTGAAACAAATTGGCTGGTGGCCAGTAAATCTTTTGACAATGGTTAAGTATGGATTCCGCTAGAGACTTGTATCTTCCATTTTTGGGGCCACAAATCCAGTTATAAAACAAAATCCACAGTTTGAAGTTATCTTGACTAAAATTATAAGGCCAATTTTGGCAGCAAATCTGCATAATTATTCAGTAGTGGTTGAAAATTCTCAAATAAAATAGTTCGCCTTTTTTTTTTTTTCCTTCCTAATTCAAAGTAACTTTGCTAAACACAATCTTGTTTGGAGTGTGAAACATTTCTTTTGTGACTCCGAACACCTTCCCCAGGCCTTATAGGGTGCGGACTCTTCCATGATCTCCCTGTAGGGGCTGTCCGAGGCTCATACCCGTGAGCCTGAGAAAACCAAAGCTAAGGTGGCTCCAGATTAGGCAGAGGACTGAATCCTGCCTCATTTATGTTTGGCTTAAAGGGTTATTCTCTTTTTAATTTTTTAAACTTTATTTGTAATATTATTTACACAGTTGAGAGGGATGCATGCCCATGTAGGCATCTGATCATGGTGATGAGGGTTGGGGCATGGAGGAAGGTGGATTTTTTTTTTTCTTTTATTCTTATATCTGCAGAGAAGGTGGAGAGTTGGGGAAAGAGAGAGGATTACTCTTTGATGTCAAACTATATAACTACATTGGCACCTAGGGTTGAGGGATGGTCATCTGGTGATGTGTTAGGAACCCCAATGTGGGTAAGAGTGTCCTGAGGGTGCCTTGAGACATTGTAGGTTTTGTTGCTCCATGGTTAAGAAAATCTTTTCAAGGTCTACTGGTTGACAAAGACCACTTTGGTGCATCCACAGGCACAGAAAGATGTTGGAAAGTTTGATCATCAGAGCTGTCCAACCTGTTCCACTCTCCATCTTCTGATGAGGCACTCAGTATCCTCTGCTGCTGGGCTAGGCTCCAACATCCAGTGACAAGGGCCAAGATGCAGGGTGGGCCATGTCAGACTGGTATGTGTAAAGTCTGTGGCTGGGAGCGAGCATGGTTGGGGAGCTAAGGAGATGCCCCTCCTGTGCTGCAGTTCCCACTGGTGAGTGTAAGAGCCAGGAATGGGGGTAGACCTGGCTGCCCATGGTTGCAACATTCTTTGGCGTGTGCGACGGGCTGGGTATGGGGATGTGCTGGATTGGGCTAGGATCTAGGATCCACTGGCGCTTTGTGAAAGCCAGAGTGGATGTGAGATGGGCTGAGGTAGGTGCAGCACCTACTGATCCACATGAGATTTAGGTCTTGGGTTGGGCTAGGTAGGGTTGGGCCGTAGCACTCACCAGTGAGAGTTTAAACTGGTGTGGGCTGGTCTGGCAAGGTCATAGTACCAACTGGTGAAGATCGAGACTAGAGATGGGCCAAGTCAGGCTGAGCCAAATACCCACTAGTGTTTTCGATATCCGTGACTTGGGGCTGTTCTGTTAGGGGAGTTCTGGGCAACTGCCCTGTTAAGATTCAACTCTGGCTGGTGAGTGCAAGAACCTAAGCTGGGGAGAGTCCAGTTTAGGCCAAGCTGTAGTACCCCTCAGCATACACATGGGTCAGTACTGGGGTTGGGCTGGGCTGGGCTAGTCTGCAACACCCACTGGCAAGTGTGAGAATCAGGATAGGGAGCAGGGTAGGCCAGGATGGCATGCATCATCCACCAATTCACATTAAGGCCAAGACTGGGGGCTGGCTGGGTTGGGCTAGACTGAAGCACCCCTAGCACGAGCTGGGACTAAGGGCAGGCTAGACAGAGCCAGGCTGCAGCACCTGTGAGCAAACGTGGGGTGAGATGGACCATAGTACCCACCAGCACATGCAAGACCCCAGGCTGGGAGTGAACCTGGAAAGGGAGGTGCAGGGGCTCCCCTGCTGGGCTACTGATCTCACTGGTGAACATTAGCTGGGACTATGGGCAGATGGTGGTTGCAGCAGACAGGCAGGACTGCTGCAACAACATTCAGCCTGTATGTGAGCTGGGTTTGTGGGAGGGCTGGGTTAGGCCAGGCCACTGCATTCCCTGGTGCATGCAAAGGCCAGGATAAGTGCTCACTGGTCAGGTATTGCCACAGCATGTGCTATCAAGTGCTGGGACAGGGTGCATGTTGTGTCAGGCTGGACCACAGTACTCCATGGAAAGTGCAAGATCAGGGACGGGACTGGTCCTAATAGGGAAGCTCTGGGCACTCTGCTGGGCAGCAGCTCTTGTGGAGTGCATGATAGCCAGGGGTGGGAGCAGGCTAGGCTGGAGAAGGTGGCAGCACTTGTTGGCATACATGTGGATTGGTTCGTGGGTGGGGTGAGCTGAGCTAAGCTGCAATACCCATGGATGTATGCAAGAACCCATTTAGGGTGTGACACTGACTGGAATAGTCTGTTGCACATACTGGCATGTGTAAGAACTGGGGCTGGGGTAGCCCTGGTGGGTATTATCCAGCTAGGCTACAGTTCCCAGTATGTGTGCGCAAATTTCTGGTCTGTGACACTGGGCTGGGTTGCAGTACTTGTTGGTTTGCATGGGGGCTGGAGACAGAACTGACCAGGCAACTACAATCGGCAGTATGTGCGTAGGCTAATACAAGTGATGGACTGAACTGGACCCTGTACTGGCTGGCACATGCAAGAGTCAGATCTGGGGTCACCTCACGTGAGGTTTCTTGGGAGACCTCATTATTGGACCACTGGACTCAAAACTCTGGCCACAGGGAGAATCATAGGATTTATAGTCTGGCAATGGAAGACATGCCCAGGTGCCTGTGGAGGACATGATGACCAGCTCATTTTGGCTTGCAGAGGACATTGAATGCCATGTAAGAAGATGGGAAGCAGAGCAGGTTGGACAACTCTCCTGGTTGAGCTTTGGCAGCAAGTGTCTGGATGAGTGGAGCACTAGGGTGGACTCTATCAGCCAATGGACCTTGGGAGGATTTTCTCAAACTTGGAGCAGTGAAACCAACAGTGTCTTCGAACTCTCAAAACTCCTCGAAACTCTGAAAACACAAGCAATATCTTTGGAACGTTCTTCTCCACATTGGGGTTTCTGAGATGACATCAAATGTGTACTGATGTCGTTTGGCAGCTGGGAGCAGCTCTCTATGCCCTCTGACTAGAAATAGGAGAAAAGGGAAGGAAAATTGGAAATATCTGCCCCAGCTTCCACCCCCCCATATCATACTGCTCCCCATCCTATTTGATGGTTCTTGTGGGCCTGCGTTCTTGGGAGACCTCCTTATTAGACCACTGGACTCAACTATGTGAACAACATCAAAAATAAAATAAAATTGTATATAAAAAAAATCCTCTGCTGTCCTAGATGAGCTGGCTGCCATGTCCTCTGTGCACATCATCTGTGTTTGCTTTTCCATTGCATGAGCATCAGGAACTGAGGAAACCCAGACCTGACATGTGAACTCCAAGGCCAGACCACATATCTTGTGACTTTCCCCGTGATCAGGGTTTGAGTCCAGTGGTCTAGTTGGGGTGTTTCTCTAGAAACCTTGACTGGGGTTGCCTCAGACCTGACTCTCATGTATGCCAGCCATTGCAGGATCAGATTTGGTTTGTCATCTGTGCCAGGCAGTGCACATTCTAGTGGATGCAGCTGCCTGGTCCAGCCCAGCCCACCACACCACAGGCCCAATCCTCACACATACCAACAGTTTCTGTGACCTAGTTGGGATGACCCCCAATAATCCTCACCAGGCTGGTCTCTGTTTTTACACGTACCGGCAAGTGCTGTGGTCTGGCCTGGCCTGATCTGGCTTACATCCCATTTGGCTCTTTTACACACCTATAGGTGCTGTGGCTTAGCTCAACCCAGGCTCTTGCCAGTGGGTGGTGAGGTAAGGCCTGGCTGATCCACATTTATTCTGGCTCTTGGGTGCTCCAGCTGGTGCAGTGGCTCAGTCCAGCCTGTCCCTTTCCTATGTCCAGCCCACATGCTGGCCTATGGGTGTTGTAGCCTTGCACATCCTCATTCCAAGCTCTCACACTCACTAGTGGAAGCAGCAGCCTAGCAGGGGAGTCCCTTGAGCTCCCCTGCCAGGCCCATTCCCAGTTCTGGGTCTTGGCAGTGTTAGCGGGTTCTGGATCCAGTCTGGGATGGCCTCCCATGCCTTGGCATCTCTCAGTGGGTGCTGCAGCCTGGTTCTGCCTGGCGTGCTTCTAGTCCAGGCTCAAACTGGTGGGTGCTATAGCCTAGCCAGTCTGGCTAGCTCCTACCCCTCAAGTGAACTGGCAAGTTTTGTGCCTGGCTTGCACCACCGGGTTTTGCACATGCCAGCGGATTCTGTAGAGTAGCCCAGCCTTGCCTGCCCCACATCTGATCCACACGTATGCCAAGTGGTATTGTAGCCCAACCTTGTCTGGACTGCTCCCAGCACTGGCTTTCAAGCTCATCAGCAGGGGCTGCTGTTTAACAGAGGAGTTCTCCTGGCAAACCTGCTGCCAGAAATGAATGTTACACACTGGTGGATACTTGGCCAAGCCTGACATGGCTTGCTGTGGTCCCCATACTTGCTGGAGGTTAGTGTGGTCTAGCCCGACCAGCCTAGCTCTTGCCAGTGGGTGTAACAGCCCAGCCCTGCCTGGCCCACCCCCAGACCTGGCTCTCATGTGGACAGCCATTCTGACTCTTTTTTTTTTTTTTAAGATTTATTTTATTTTTATTGGAAAAGCGGATATACAGAGAGGAGAGACAGAGAGGAAGATCTTCTGTCTGATGATTCACTCCCCAAGTGAGCACAACGGCTAGAGCTGAGCCAATACAAAGCCAGGAGCCTCTTCCAGGTCTCCCACGCGGGTGCAGGGTCCCAAAGCTTTGGGCCGTCCTCGACTGCTTTCCCAGGCCACAAGCAGGGAGCTGGATGGGAAGCGGGGCTGCCGGTATTAGAACTGGCGCCCATATGGGATCCCGGGCGTGCAAGGTGAGGACCTTAACCACTGAGCCATTGCGCCGGGCCCCATTCTGATTCTTATGAGTGCCAGCAGATGCTGGGACTTAGCTCAGTCCTGTCTGCCCCTGGACTCAGCTCACATGCATGCCAACAGGTGCTGCAGCTTTATTCAGCCTGGACTCTGAGCCTTTGCGTTCACCAGTGGGAGCTGCTGCCTATGAGGGGAGTCCCCATAGTTCCCCCTCCAGGTCTACTCCAATCCTGGATCTTGCATAGACCCGTGGATGCTTTGACCTGACCTGGCATGGGCCCACCCCTAGTCTTAGCATTTGTTAGTGGATGCTGCAGCTTGGCCTGGTCTGGCTGGTCCAGCCTTACCCCTGGGTCTCATGCAAACTAGTGGGTGTGGCTGTTTAGCCTGGCATAACTCACAGCCTGACCTATTTCCAGACCCAGCCCATACCACACAGATTTAGTGCTACAGCTTAGCTCTTAAGCTCACGAATGGGAACTATGGCCTAATAAGGTAGTTCTCCAAGTTTTTCTCCTAGACCTGCTCTCAGCCCTAGTCTCATGTGTGTCAGTGTGTGCTATACTCTTGCCTGGCATGGTCTGCCTCAGGTCCTGGGCTTTACACGTGTTGGTGGGTGTTGCAGCCCAGCCTGGTCCTCCTCCAGACCTGGTTCTGAGGTGCTCCAGTGGGTGTTATTGCCTGGCCCAACATGGCCTGCTTCCAACTCTAGCTCCTGTGAATGTTGGTGAGTTCTGTGGTCATGCCTGGCTCGGTCCATCACCACACCCAGCTCTTGAGCAAACTTGCAGATATTCAAGGGTGAGCCTACAAGTTCCCTACAGAATCTGTGCCCAGACCTGGTTCTCTCAGGAGCCAGTTGGTACCATGGCCCAACCTTGCACAGCTCATCTGTTGTCCTGACACTTCACTGGCTGGTACTGTAATCTAATCTTGCCTGGCAGGTCCCCCAACTTCCAATCCCCAGTGCCAACTTTCACATATGCCAGAAGGCAGCAAGTGATGCTACTTAGTTAGCCCAGCTTAGGTCTCCCATGTGGGTAAGTGCCTTGGTTTCACTAGATATACCCTCTGGTTTCTCCTATGCAAACCACCCCCCTCTTATCTCCCTTGTCTAACTGCAAGTGCAGTGGCAGCGTCCCAAGGACTTGAGCCATCTGCTGCTTTCCCAGGCCGTAAGTAGGGAGCTGGATGGGAAGTGGAGCAGCCCGGACATGAACTAGTGTCCATATGAGATGCCAGTGCTTGAAGATGGAGGATTAGCCTGTTGAGCCACAGTGCTGGCCCCAGCGGAATGTGTTTGAAGATGGTGTGAGTGTAATACTCAGAGTTCAAGACTAGCAGTGATGCATTCCAAACCACAGGGGCCCATGTTCAGCATTACAGTGTCAACAGCAGGGGAAGTGGTTTCTGTGTGGGACTTGATCTCAGGTAGACTGAATTCTGTCCCTGAATGTGTAGCTAGCTTCAAACTTGGTTCTGTGCGTTAGCTCAAGATACAATGAGTACTAATGCCATATTTATGCACCCAAGTACATGTAAATCCCTTTATGTTTAAATTAGGAGAAAAAAAGGGGGATGGTGCATTCTGCTGTTTAAGAAGTGAGTGGTAGGGTTCTGGCATGGTGGCCTAGTGGCTAAAGTCCTTGCCTTGAAAACCAGGATCTCATATGGGTGCCGGTTCTAATCCCAGCGGCCCCACTTCCCATCCAGCTCCCTGCTTGTGGCCTGGGAAAACAGTCAAAGACGGCCCAAAGCCTTGGGTTCTTGCACCTGCATTGGAGACCTGGAGGAAGTTCCTGGTTCCTGGCTTCGGATTGGCACAGCACTGGCTGTTGCACTCACTTGGGGAGTGAATCATCAGATGGAAAATCTTCCTCTCTCTCTCCTCTCTGTATATCTGACTTTACAATAAAAATAAATCTTAAAAAAGGAGTAATAAATCAGTGTAGGGGGCAGGTTCAGAAAGCAGCATAGAGAGCTTTATCCCAAGCTAAATCATGTCCTCTATGCTTTACCTGGCCAAAGCCCATAGTAGAGAAAACGACTTGTCTGCCAGCATCTTGTCTCATAATCAGCCAAACTGTCTCTTTTTCCTGGGACAAACAACATCTAAATGTGGATTCAAAACTGCTCTCTGTCCTGGCACTCTACCCACTGACCACAGTGGTTCCCAACGTGGTGGAATACCAGGATTTCTCTCTCACCTTACAGTCGTGGTCACCATTTGTGCCACTAGAAGTGTGGTCTCTAGAGTAGCAGCAGCAACTGACTTACTACCAATGCAGACTCTCCTGTTTGGCAGTGGAACATCTGAGCTTCACAGTACTGTCCAGATGGGTTTTGCGCATGAGAAAGCTTAGGGCTGCCTGTCTGTGGGTCTTAGGAGTGGCGCAAGCTTGCTGTCAGCTCTGGGCATGCACACGAGGTCCAGGACTCCCTTGTCCAAGACAGTGGGTACAGCATGGAGGACACACAGGAACCTGTGACCAATTGGTCATTTTAGCTGCTTTCCCCTTGGGTCGTCCAGGATCTGAATGCTTAAGGGTCTGAGAGAATACAGTTAATCTCTAGTACAGGATCTGAAAATCCAGTACTCATTCCCCTCTGGCCCCAAGGGACAGCAGTTTTCTGATGGCCTCCTCCCCTCATGGGAAGCAGGTGAAGAGAAGGAGACCTGGAGGTGTCTCAGGTACCTGCACACTGCAGTCTCCTGTCCCATATCCAGGAATCTGCAGCTGCTTCACACATGTGTCCTCCAGATAGGCCTTGTGGAGCTGAGCCTCAGGGCTCGCCTCCCACTGAGCTGGGTGGTCTGGGCCACCATCCAGGAGCGCAGGTCCTTATTCAGGGTGATGTAGTTCTTGCCTTTGCAGGCATCCTGCTGTACCTGTGGAGACGGCGCCCCTCCGCCCTGACCTCGCAGCCACAGATTGACTGGTAGGTGTGAAAGCCTGGTCCCACCCCTCAGTCACACCCCCAGGTCGGCACTGACCCTAAAGGATAGAGCCGTTCCTTTTATTGCCCCCTATCCGAGTCATAATCTTAAGGGGACTTTCAGGGTCAAAGGAGACTGGAGCTGTCTTGCATCCTCTGGGAGACCTGGGACCGACTTTGGACAACGGGCTGTGTCCCCACTTGTCTGCCTCAGTCACTGACCTCATTCTGGTTGTAGTAGCTGTTCAGTTTCAAACTAACTCGGTAAATCTGTGTGCTGCACTTGATGATCTGTGTGTTCCGGTCCCAGTACTCCGGCTCCACTTGCCACATCCAAGGCGCCTGGGGCTCCATGCGTGGGTTTCGCAACATTGCTGTCAAAGCGTGCGAACTCCATGCCATCCACATAGTTGATGGAGAGGAGCCAGAACTCTGCGATGGTGAAGAACAGCAGGGATTGGGAGCCTAGGGGACAAAGGGAAATGCTGGGACAGACCTTTCATCTGCGTGCTTCCCCAGAAGTCTGGCGGATGAGGCGTTGGTCTGCGCGGGGTGCAGAGCAGGAAGTGGTTGCAAGATGGGTCAGGGACAGGATAAAGGGCTGGGACTCTCCCTCCCCGGGGTCTTGTGCCCCTGTCACGTGGTGTCCTTTTTTTTTCTCCGGACCCGCATTCATCTAGCCCTGTCTCAACACCAATGCCCTTAAGAGCAGCAGGAGGAGGGGCTGGAGCCCCAAAGTTGCCATGTTGAGAGTGTGGGGAAAGTGAAGAGTTCATACAGGAAAGGTCAGCTAGGACTTTATGAAGGGAAATGAATGGGCGGTGCTGATCCAGGAACCAATGGGAGTGTGACTTGGGCCTGTGTCACGAGTCTTGGGGCAGAAGAACCTGACCCAGTTTTGCAGCAGAAGAACACCTTTCCTTGTGAGAGGAAAGGTGAAACTGGGATGTCAGTGGCTTTGCCCTCACCTGGTGAGCCATCTGCTAGGAGTTCTGTCCCAGCATATACAGCAGAATCTGTGTATTCTCTTAGGAATTAATGAGGACTCCAAAGGTAATTTGTTGTTTTGACTTGTATTTAATAATATTAAAATGTGAAACCTTTTGAAAACCCCTCACTCATTGAGAATGATAACCATTGTATAGTATTTTTAAACCTGAAAAGTAGCTATTTTCCACAATAAACAGTGTGGTGAGAAAGTGAAATTATTTACAGTTTGTGTTTTTTAGGTACTTTTATAAGACCACTGGATTTTGTATTTCCTCTGGCATTTTAATCTTTATTTTGATTGAAATGTATGAAAAAGCAAGTTTTATAAAAATAAGCAGAAAGAAACTGTGGCTTTTTGGTAA